GAATTCTTCTGCCAGGTAACTTCATATTGATAACTTCTGAATCAAAGTCTTAGCCTATTTTAAATTATACTTTATAATCTTAGTATTGACATTTTTAAACTAGATAGAATTTACTGACTTTGGTGTGAACACTATAGAAGTTTAATTCAGTCATTTCCTACTCTCCTTTATATTTTGGAGAACAAGTAAAAGCTCTTCTGTCTGCATGAAAGGCAAATTTTAGTCAAATTATTCAACCAAGTTTGAGAAAGTAGTACAGATGTTCTCCACAAAACAGAAATTACAAGTACTCCTTGTTTAATTACTATTCAGTGAGCAACTGTTCAAAGTTATGACAGTACTGAATGATTGGTAGTTACAGTCGGTCATTGAAGTTGACCAACTGTAATCACATGATCAAAATATGGGCACTTGGCAGCCTGCCCACATTTATGACCACATTCAACTCACCCAAGCCACCTCCCTCTGCCAATGTCAGCTCTTTTGGCTGTCCTCAGCTCAGTTGCCCCTGCTGTCCCCAGCTGACCTTTGCCATCAAGGCCTTGGGAAGGCTGTGTGTGATCAGCAGCTGCTCATGAAGGGCCAGGCTGGAGGCACCTCATCACCAGCAGGAGGAAGTCAACTGGTAGGGGCAACAGGGCAGTAAGTGCAGGGTGGCTAAAATTGGGGCGATAAGGGATAGGCGGGAGTTCAGGCAGAGGTGAGTGCAGCCAAGTAGAAGAAGTGTGAGGTCCTGACCTAATGACTGCAACCAGGACTGCCAAAACCTATTGCTGCTAAGTAGTACAGTTATATGATATATGACCTAATGACTGCATCACTAAGTGATGGAAATTCCAATCCCAATTAGAGTCATTAAGTATATACATTCCTATGTACCTAAGTAATATCCCAATATCAGTAATTCTCTTTAGTTTAAGAGCACAATAAAAAGCTTGTTCTTTTATGCTCCTTTAAGGGAAATTATATCTATTTTTGGTCAGATATGGCTACAAACATTTTCTAGAAGCTCAACCTTACATTTAGGAATTAGTTCGCAGTAGAAACTTCAAGAACAAAATGCCTTAATGTAGTTTGTTTTCTTGAGGGCAAGGAAGTGATACATTAAAAAAAAAACATTTGCTGAATCCCAAATGTTAACTCTAGGATCTAAATCTATACAAACCATGGGCAGTTTAAGAACTCCTGGCTTTTTAAGGCAAAGTCTGAAGCTAAAATTGGTTGGCTGTAGCAGCCAATCAGAATACAGAAGCAGCATGTACAATTACACTTACTGAATTGGGAAGAATTATGTCTCACTATTATGTGTAAATTATGTGTGTCCTTTTATACATTATTTAAATAGCAATATGTCAATATACAGTATTTTGTATAGCATCAGATTCAGTTTTAATTGTTAGATTTTCCATACTGTTTAATTCAAATCCCATTTAAAATATATTATTTTAAAATTGTAATATATTTATTTCCAAAAGTTTGTGGAATAACAAATTTAATTTAAATTTGTATGAATTTAGGACAAGCTGCACAAGAAAAGAACTAAATGTAGTGCGAATCTGCCTTGAATCTGAACCAGAGTTCTTTGTATTGAATGAACAGCTTGCATTAGTATTATGCCGTGCGGATCTTTCAACATTGATGAACAGTTGAATAAAGGGATCTCTGTGATAAATTTTGCATCAGCTTTTATAAAAAAAAACTTTGTTTGAATGTGCTATTTATACTGATATTTCATATAAAACAATCTGTTTTTTTTTATCAAAATTACTGGGAAACTTACAACTACAGCTTTCCTTTTCTATATTATTAATGCTAAGTACCAATGTATGTTTTTTATTAAAAATGTTCAACTGAATTGCAGACTCTTATTCAAAATATATTTCTAATACTTATTTAGAATGATTTTACTTTTTTATTGTAGTTGCTAATTCATCCACATCTCTAAAAACATTAAGATTAATCAATAGAATAGAGGTCTTACTTGTGCTACTAATGCCAGCTTCTTTCATTGCAAGTGATTGTGTAATTGTGGAAATCACAAGATGCTTTCCCAATCTTGTATATGGTTTTAGTCTGGATTACATTAACGATTGCTTTTCAATATCAAGCTATGAATTATGGTTTAATGAGATGATGTTAGCCATCAATTTGTTCAGCCTTTACTCTAAGCCAGCCTCCTGCAAGGCGAAGTGTTTGAACTTTCAGTCTTGATTTTGATTGTTTGTCATCTGAATTCAAGGAACCTAAGTTTTCACCAAGGGTACTTCTTGATGATAACTTTATGCCAGTTCTTTAAAAAGCTTAGGTAATTTCATGACATTTGTTGCATTCAAGAATTGGAACAATTTACTTTTAGCTCAGCTTCATGGTGTTTGAAACTACGTAAAAACAGAAAGTCTTTGAAATGCTGCAGTTTTGTGAAGGTGGTGGACACTGTGGTTTTGGGTGTGTAATTAATTTTGTTCCTTAACATTTGAAAGACCAGTAAGTTTAAAGATGATTGCAGGTCACCTGCAAACTGTTTTGGAGATAATGGAACTGCAATAATCACCCTATGATTTGTTTCAAACTGACAAATCTGAAATGTGGATACTGGTTCATTTAAACAAATCATAGTTTAAAACAGACTCAATTCTAGTACACATTATTGTCCTTGAATGGCATATAAAGAGGAAAGAGATTTTTATACATTAAACCTAATTTGGTATAATATTTTGTCAGTTTTCCCATTTTTTTTGGCCCTGATTTCCTAATCAGAATTTCTATAAATTCCTCAGTTCTGGAATTGTAGCAGATTTTCCAGTCATAAGACTGTATGACATAAGTGATGCAGTAGAGCATCATGTATGGCTGCAATTTCCTCTGTATCACATGGGACCAAAATATGCCAGTTTTCTACTGATTTTATAGAACTGGAAACTAGTTTAATAGAACTATCCAGTTTTATAAGCATAATTTTAGCAATGTTATCCAGAATTAACATGTAGCCTGGAGAAATAAATTTGTCTTTGGTTTCTCTTTTGGTTGTTTTTTTTTTTTTTGGGGGGGGGGGGTTTACCTCATGAGAAAGGGTTTGAAGTCTATTATATAGCAATACTCAGGTAACTAAACAAGTACAAACAATAGAAACATTAATACAAATTTGTAACACTCCTCGCTTAGATCTAACTTTTAAAAATAGCTACATTTCTATAAATTCAGTTGTACTGCCAATACATGTAGATCAAACCCACAATTATATGCATATAGCACATAAGCAGAGATTTTGAGGTACACCAAATTTGTAGGATTCAAATAAGACTTGTATGTTATGGCCCAGGACTCAGACTATGCATCTGATTATGAAGAACCTATTTGAGCTGAATCTGTGGTATCCAGGAATTGCATGAAGCTGTTCAAAAACATGCACCACTTGAATATCTGAAACAGTCAGAGGAGGAGGACATAAAGTATGCACTCAGTCACTAAGGAGGAAAAGAGAGCAGATAATTCTATGAAATTCCTTGCCAAGCAAGGGAATAACTTTCTTCATTAGTGACAGCTGGCTGCAGCCTGACTTAAGAGACAGCTCTGACCAAAATTCCTTTTCTGGAAACAAGTGTTTGATCCCTAACTCAAGTGACATTTGTGTGGATTCTGCCTGTGAAATTCTGACCTCTGGACTGGCTGACAACTCTGACCTATATCCTTTATTACATATGGGTTAAACCGGGGGTGTCAAACTCACTTTCATTCAGGGTTGTTTGACCTCAGGGGGCCAGGGTGGGTGTGGCCAGCTTGACATCACTTGTGCCCAGGGGCACCTGTAGTGGCCCAAGTGCTCTGCCAGCGAAAACGAGATCCTGAACTCCATTTCCAGCTGCAGCCCCCTGCAACCCTCTGCCAGTGGCCCTCCCAAGCTCATTTTTGCTGGCAGAGGCACTGCGGGCCGGTCCTTCACTGTTTCCAGGGTGGCCCTGTGGGCTGGATACAACCCACGGGCCTTGAGTTTGACACCCCTGGGTTAAACTAACAAAACCTGTATTATGCCAATGGAACAGAACTAGCTTACCTGAAAATTCCATACAAACTTCAATCATATATTAAGAAAATGATTCTCCTAGATCACTGATTTAAAATCAATTATGTTATATTTTGGGTTATTAGACTATTGTAACATATGAGGAGAACACTTGGAGAAGATTATCTTGGAAAAGCTAAAACAATATGCCAATCATGTCAACTGTCCAACTAGCGAACCCAAAACAAGTAAACATTCAGGAGCTTTTAATTCCCAAAAGTAAAATTATTGGATACACCATTTTGGTACTGAAGAATCAAAACCAGCTCTGATTTTTCCACATAAATGTTTGCCGAGTTAAACAATTGCTTCCCTTTCTCCCCACCCCTGGATGATCACATTGTTCAATTATGAGATGTTCTTTTATGGGAACAATCCACCTCTTCTCAAGCACCCGCAGTGGTGACCGTGATGGTATCCACGCTCTCATGATCCGTGCACAAATTCTCAGCACTCCATTCCAACCTCCCCCCCAAGTTCATTGGCAATTTGAACAGTGATAAGGTTTGAAAGAAGCAAAGCAGTTCAATCTTGACAAATCGCTTGTTTTAAATTTCCTTCAAGCTTTGTGTAATAATGAGCAAGCATCCTGTGGAAGGTTTTAAACCGGAGATTAAAATGGCAGATCGCCTTTGGTTAGATTGCTTAACTGCTACATGTTAAGACTTTAGCTGCTGTATGCTAAAGAAAGGCTCAATATCAATTTTTAGAACTACACAAAGTAGCTGTGATCTGAAGCAATTATACTGCAGATTTTGCATTAATAATGTGAACTGTTAATTTTAGTTGATGCATTAAGTTAGTTAAAGAACAAACTCTTAGCATTAGTTAGGAGCTGAAGTTGACAACGTATATTCAAGAATACAGTCAAAGGGGCTGAGCTAGAGAATGTGTTGCTATATTTCCACATTCTTACAAGATGATTTTAGTATCAGTATTTACTAAAAGAAGCAGGTGGTGGGCATAAATGTTCATTTGCAGCTGCTTAAATTATTAACACTTCTTTTTAACCTGATGCTTCTGCAGACATACACTTTTCAACTAGTCTGTCTTAACACAATGACAGTCAATCCTTTCATCTCTATACTTTTTCCACCAGCAGCTATCCTTTGAAAGACATTTGAAACATGCACTTTCTAGGTGTCTCAGGCTGCAACAAAGGTAAGACTGTTTTTGGTACTATTAGATATGACAAATTGTGAAAGATCCTGAAGAGGCAGATCAATGAAAAATAACAGAAAAGCATCTTTTCATTTATGCTGGTCTAGGTGAGTTAGAGGATATTTTTGTTAGTACAATCTTTATGTTGTCTACGATGATTGAAAACCATTAATTCTTCTTTCAACTTAACATGGGTAATTTCACTTTGAAAAAATGGAACTATTTAGATTTCTTAATTCATACAGAAGTGCTATGACAGCCTACTCTATGACAGCTTACTCTCACAACACTCCTCAAATAATTTACTACACTTCATCACTGAGAGAGGATATACAATTAATATATTGTGGATCTTTGTCACAACAGTCTCAGTTAAAAACAAATTTAGGGCAATTTCAAAATAACTATGTAAAATGAAAATAAGGTCTTCGGGAGCCTCTTTTATAGCTCAATGCTGGTTTTCATGTTTTCCATCTCAAAATGAGAAGCCATGTTTACATTAATTATCAGTATTTTCTGGGTAATACATTACAAAGCAAACATTTAGAAGCTGTAGGTTGCCCACTCTTATTTTGCAACATGAGGCATCTTTATCAATTGAAGATAAAGAATATAAATATCTTGGGTTTGAAGTGATTTACTTTCAAGCAAAAACATCTAATTCATGATCTTTTAATGAAATCTTTTCCATGTTTTAAAGAAAAGATTTCAGAGCGTATCAGGAAAAGAAAAACCACTCTTTATCAGGTGAAATTATCTCAAGCTCTGCCTTGTTTAAGATGAAGCTGTTCCTTACATCATCATAGATTACTCTAGCTCTACCCCTCCCCCACTCAGTAGAGCGACATCTTATTTATAAGCATCTTCTCTAAGGGATTAAATAAGCTTTTCATGGTTTGCCAATTGGTAAATGATATACTATATGTCTTAAGTATTTTAAACTTCTTAAGCTGTATTAAACTTTCGTACCACCTTGGGAATCTATTGACTGAAACAATATATAAATGTTTCAAATCAGAAACGTCTTACAAAATAAGAATTCTGAAATAAAAAATTTAAATTGTCATAATCCTGATGATGAAGCATTAAAGTGAATATTCACTAAACATTAACTGAGTTAAAGTTAATTTTTACTACTTAACTATCTTTTAAATGATCAGTTTTTAACTAAAGGAAATATAAGGTCAAACCTCTCTTCCTTGATTTGTATTTCATTTCTTTCTGCTTATAAATGGGCAACCTATTCCCTTACTATCAAAAACACAGAAAAAGTAGTTAATAATCCATTGTGCTTTTTAATTTATGTATCCCAAACCTATCAAGTTATCAACACTCGCATTACAATGTAGATATACAAAAAATGCTTTATCCTAAATGCAGAGCAAACAGATCTATTTTGAAAGTTCTATCAGATGATATTTTGATTATTAGTGCCATTGGGAGCAATGAGAACATAAAACAATTGCTCCTTTGGACAATCAATCCCTTTAGTTGTGTATTCATTATAAGTAATAGATTCTTACTTAAATCTGCCATGCTGTGCTGAAGAGCATGCAGACAGCCAATAACGTAACTAAACTGTAAGTCAAAATCTGTGGAAATAGATGAGGACTTGACAGCTTGGCAATTTATTAAGTATACGGGAGACATATCAATGAGATAACAGCTTTATCTCATGATGATATAGGTAGTCTTCAATTTACAACAGATCATTTAGTGATTGTTCGAAGTTACAGCAGCCCTTTAAAAAGTGACTTTCACATTTATGACTGTTGTAGCATCCCCGTGGTCACCTGATCAAAATGCGACCTTTTGATAAGCAAAGTCAATGGGGAAACTGGATTAACCATGTTTCTAATTTAACAACTGCAATGATTCACTTAAAATGTGGCAAGAAGTCATAAAATGGGGCAAAACTCACAACATAAATGTTGAGCTCAATTATAGTTGTAAGTTGAGGACTGCCTGTAGTTAAGATTTAATTATGCATTATGCAACTTTTTCTAAAATATATATTTTATTTGTATTATTCAACAGGAATCAACAAAGGCAGAAAATGTATTTCCATTACTTAATCTGGCTTTGGTTTGCTCTTTCACACAGTGATTCTAAAATCTACGAAGCCTGCAAGGAAATCTGTTTTTGCAAAGTGGGGACAATGTTTGTGAACTGTTCAGGAGTCCATGCTCTGGTGTTCAATCTAACGTTCCCTTCTGATGCAGAACACTTGGACCTTTCTCAAAACAACTTGTATTCTATTCCTTGGAAATCTATAAATTCCCTGTGGAAGTTGCAGGTTCTCCTTTTGAGCAGCAACTCCATTCACAAAGTTGGAGAAAATACATTCATTTCATTGGGCAGGCTGCACAAGCTTGATATTGGTAGAAATGATATCTCATTTCTTGGCAACAGTTTTTCAGTGGGTCTTATTTCTCTCCATGAACTTATTTTGGCCTACAATAAACTGCAGGAGCTACAGTATAAAAGCTTTAAGTACTTTGAAAATCTTCAGAAGCTGAATTTGCAAAATAACAACATTTCCTCCATAGAATTGGGGACTTTCCGCAGTCTTACTCGGTTGAGGCAACTTTACCTTCAGAACAATTGCCTTCATGCCCTACCTAATAGATTATTTTCTATGTTGCAACACTTAGAGATCTTGAACTTAGAGGGTAATATGATAAAAATTATTGCTCCTGGAGCCTTTATTCCATTAAGCCACCTTACAATACTTAATTTGATCCACAATAAAATTGACCATATTAAATTCAAAACTTTATTATCTTTGCAAACCCCTGGAACTCACATCTTACTCTCAGACAATCCCTGGTTCTGTGACTGTGATCTTCAGAGAGTGTTTGCAAAACTGCACAGTGTCAGGAGACTGATCTTGGATGATTACTATAACGTGACATGCATGGAGCCCCATCTCTTGAGAAACCTGCCTCTATCAGCTGTAGATACGGAGCTTTGTATTGCTGAGACAGTGACTGTTCTTGTCATAACCTTTACTGTCTTTGTAACTGTGGTAGCTGCCATTGTAATGGCTGAAAGGAACAGGAAGAAAAGGGCTGAGAAACGCTGGAATGAGGATAGTGACGTTTCTTACAATGCTCAAAACTGATTAAATATTTGGCAATAGGAAAGTACGCTTGAAAATGCTACTTAATTTAGCTATATAAATTAGAACCATTTTCAGACATGCAATTCTGAATGTATGAAGAGAATGTGTGTGTCTGTCTCCCTCTTAATTATTTCCTGTTCATGGGGGGTGGCAATAATCTGGACTTTAAATGTGTTCTTAGGAGTTCTGACTAAGAGTTCTTGTCCACATTCCAATCTTCATACATTGAAGCCAACCTCTTCAGATATAAGTACAGCAACCATACTGGCAGCCACAGGGTGACTAGTGTTGCTAATGCTGTGACTAATATAGAGCTACTAAGAGGATGGAATAGACAGGTGCATTTCTTCAGGAACCTAGATCCATTATGTGGTCAAATTAAACATGAAACAACAGAATCAATTTTTATAATAAGAGACAGAAATGTAATGATTGCAGCATTATTAGCCAGTTTTTGTCTGTTCCAAATAAAAAGTAAATGTTTTTCTCTCTTCACATTAGTTTCTGGAAAAGAATTTCTGAGACATTCAATTTAAATAGTAATATTTAAAAAACTTTTCAATCTTAAAGAACTTTTGAGATATACATCTGTACACATGAGCAATTAAATATTCTTAAGTAATAAATTGTGTGTGTGTGTGTGTATAGAGAGAGGGACAAATTGTGTTTCCAAGTACAACATCAAGAATGAGTTTGTAGGCCAAGGAACTAGTATTTTGTAGACTACTCATTTCAAGGCTTTGTGGTGGTTCTGGCCAATGGTGAGGGATGGATGGTAGGCAGGGGCAAGATAGATTTACTAAAGAAACCGTTTTCTTCCTTCAGTAAATTATTATATGTATTATTAGAAAGATTTAAAAAATACAGAAAAAAGGGAAACTGGGAAGAGTATTAACCTGGTTAATATTTGAATAGGAAGCTGCTTGGCTACCAGATCTAATTTGAAAAAAAAATCAGAAAAAGAAATGACAGTATAGAAAAATCCTGTGTTCTAGGGGTTATCCTAGAGCAGGCCTGTCAAACTGACAGCTGCCCATCCCGCCTCCGCAAAGGCAAAAAAACATCCTGATACGTCACAATATGGCCCGCGATGCGATCGGGTTCAATACCACTATCCTACCTAGAGATATTTGAGGGCCAGATTTGGTAGCTCTGTGTCAAAGATTTTCAAACTGTGAGTCATGATTCCAGGGGATGGGACATGTTTTTTTTTAAAAAGAATTGTTTGCTTATATTGTTTGTCCACAGTGATAGCACTATCAAAACTTTATTTAGGCAGTAGCATCCTTGTGCAAGCAACACAGGGAGTGAAGTTCAAAAGTGCCAAAGTCATCAAACTCAGCTGGTAAGTTCTGATTGTGGCTTTTAGAAGTATCTGTATATCTTTTTTTTTTTCCAATTTTTTTTATTGCTGTCTTAGAAACCAAGAGACTGACAGTTCTAATCCTGCCTAAGGCATGAAGGTTAGCTGGGTGATCTTGGGCCAGTCACTCTCTCCCGGCCTATCACACCTCACAGGGTTGTTGTGAGGATAGGAGCAGGAAGGATGTATTTTGTGGATAAATGACCAGCAAAGTAACATATGTAGTCTCCATAGCACACATAGGAGTGAAGTTTAGAATTTTGTTTAAATTCTAGTTTTTAAAATGGGGAAAAATTAAAGATGATTGTTAAAACAGCTTAAGTCTGGAACCATGAGTTTTAGTAAACGGTGCCTTTTTTTGCAGAATTCTAACCTCAACAAAACAGTTTTATTAATGTAGAAGATTAAACAAATTCATTTATCTATTTTAGGGAGTTATAATAGTATAAATTTTGAGAAGCCTAGACTAGAACATCGAGACAAGAAATCCTGGAAGGGGCTCCTTCCAGGCAAATGATTTACTACAGGAAAGTTACCCTCAAGTTGAACCAACTGAATGTTGGAAAGGAACTGTATAAAGGTGTTGAAAGAAATAGCCTTCTGGGTTCAGTTCCAAGTGGGGAAAAAGACACTGGAAACATGGAGGCTGTTAGGAAATATGGTTTAATGGTGGACAGCAGGACCACATGGCTTGAAGCTCCAAAGTGAAAAGGATGGACGATCACATGCTTCAAAGTGAGAAGGTCAAGAAAAGACTGATATGCTGAGAGTGCCTGGGTTTTATAACCTCTGTTGGGATTTGAATTTGAGCTTGTATTCTGATTGGTTGTCAGATTCCCAGGGGGCCATGCAGGGGCAGCTCTGTAGGCTGTCCTGAGTTCCAGGCTTGATTGAGCCTTGCTGGATGATGGACTGAAAGGGCTTTGGGCAATTGCTATAGTTTTACCTGGAGATCTTTGTTATGTAAAGTATTCTGGCCCAGGCCTTAATAGCCCACCCATTAACAAAGGTGGGGGTGAGTTTCTGCTTCTGAGGTGAGTTTCTGCTCTTGAGTTTCTATTCTTTTTAGGGGAAATATTCTGCCTTTTTAATATTTCCTAAGATATTTCAATTTTCTCGGAGAGGGGTGGATGCTAACTTCCTACAAAGGGTCTCCTATAATTGAGAGAAACATCAATTTAAAAAAACCCTCGAATTCACCTCTTGTGAAAGAAGAGGTTAATACTGCCGGGGAGACTGCTCCACTGGTGATTCATCCCAGAACATGCCTAACCCTCTTGCAGCGTTACGTTGCAGTATTTTGCCACCGCTAGCAAAGGGGCAGGAAATAATTTCGGCTCAACCCCGACGAGCGAGCGACTTCGTGAATATGCATCCAATGTCACTTCTTTCGTTCATAAACCAGAGCAGGAACCGAATTACTAAGCCGACTTTTCTCAACGACACTAAACTGAAGGGGTCCAGGCAGAACGGGGTTTCCTTTTCCCGATTGGCTCTGTCCTGTTCCGAAAGAAAAGGCAAGCCTCTTCGGGACTTTCCCCGGGTCTTGGCGGGGGGGATCGAAGTGGGAGGGGGCTTCGTTGTACCGCTGCCTCCGCGCACATGGCCGCCTGGGCGGGCAGAGGTTCCCCTCACAGTACCTGCCTTTTCGGCAGCAGCGGCATCTCAGCGGGCGGCAAGAGCCATGGCGGTGCTTCCTACGTGATCCATATGACCCTTTTGGGTTTGAGAGTGGATAGGCTTCGGCTAAATAAAGAGGTTATATTCTTCTGGCCCCGGCCCTGACCATGCACTTCATTATTACCTCACTCGACCCGTAGGAGGAGAGAGATTTTTGCCTGTGTTTTGGTCCAAAGCTACCATTTTATGCAAGCCCGCTAATCAAGACCGTCGCTGGGTGGCAGTGGGACCCACGGAAAGCTCCCCTTATGCGGTACTGCCATTTAACGATCGTCAGGATTTCTGCAATCCAGGATTCCTACAGCACTTTGATTGCTCTTCCAAAGCAAGTGACGCGGCTTTACTCCGTAGCAAGGCGATTTCGCCCCAGAAGCAAAGAGACTGTTATTCTCGCTGCTCCGGGATAGCAAGGCGCCGCCTCCTTTCATCAAAACAAAACGCGAAAGGCCGCCTGCCGCTTCGGGCCTTGCGAATCCGAAGGGGCGGAAACGTCGCGTGACCCATTAATTGCCGCTCTATTTCTCCCGCTTGCTGGAGCGGCTAGAATGCTGGAGGTACGTTTGGACTAGGCGCTGCTCCTGCAGGAGACCGCAGGGAGGAGACAGCGGGACGGCCTCATCCTTTCTCCCGCTTGAGCTCTCCGGCAACCCAAGCGAGTTCCTGGTGCGACCGAGCTTGTGTTTGTGTGTGCGCGCTCGTATTGGCCTGGACTCCCTCAGCGGTCGTCTTCGCCACCCCCACCCCCCCCATTTTAGAAATAGTTGGCAGTTATTACCACAGAAGTTGATTCACACGTATAGGTCCTTTTGTGAGCCACACAAATTGAGTATTATGTTCAGTTTTGAACTTTTCCTTGAGAGGCTGGAAAGTTGCAAATTTTGCAACCGTTCCTTGAGAGGCCTTGGCAGCCTGGCTGTTCCTAATGTTTACATGTGGCACTGAACTTCGTGTTGGTGGGGCGAGAAATTCAAAACAGAACAAATGTGAATGGTGGCTGTTGTAGAGCGGCGGAATAACCTGAGGCGAACGCGGAGCGAACTTCAGCTTTACTTTATTGTAACAATAAAGGGTTGCCGCAAGGGAGCCAGCTGGTGGACAACAGCTGATGGCCTTTGACAGCTCCCTTTTATAGCCAGCTGTCAAACGGCATCAGCCAATAGGAACGGTCTGTGTTCCCGCTGGAAACACGAACTGGAGTGAAGACTTCAGCTCAGTCTTTTCCGAACGCCACACTCCTTTCCCCCAGAACAGAGCATGCGTAGTCCTTCAGATAACTTGGGCACTTGCGCAGGTGGCCAGATCTTCTAGGTTCTGACGAAGCTGCTGCTGGAGGAACTTTTCTGCTTGTTGGGCAACTTCTGGTGCCGACGAAACTGGCGTCTCGGCTTCAGGCGTCTCTGGGCGAGGGACAGATGGCTGCTCAGGTAGGCTTGCGTTCCTGTCAGATTCGCAGGAAGTTTCTTCGGGCGCCGGCGGTTTCTCTGTTGCAGGAACGTCTTGAGGGCTATCTGCAGACGAACTCCAATGCCTTCTAAGTTGATCGATATGGCGGTGTCAGATGTGCCCGTCTTGCAGTTGGACCCTGTAAGACTTAGGACCGGTTACCGCCACAATCTGCCCAGGCATCCACAAAGGGTGTCCCGCATAATTCCGGGCATAGACCTGGTCATTTTCAGCGAACTCCCTTGCCTGGCTATTTGATCCTAGGGGCGTGACTGGGGCATAATATGGATGAAGTCTGTCTAAAGTAGTCCTCAGACGTCTACCCATGAAAAGTTCAGCCGGGGACCTATTAGTGGTGGCACAGGGAGTCGTGTGCTGGGTTAGAAGATACTTAGCAAGCCTAGAGTGCCAATCTATGGGCCCAAACCTTTCCAGGACCTCCTTAGCAGATCTGATTGCTCTTTCAGCCAGGCCATTACTGGCAGGATGGAAAGGAGCTGTAAGTGCGTGCCTGATTCCTAGGTTAGCTAGGAAGACCTCAAACTCACAGGGAGTAAACTGGGGGCTGTTATCAGACACGATAGTGTCAGGGAGGCCATGGGTAACGAATATCCTTGATAGAGCCTTAGTGACGGCTTCTGAAGTTGTGGTGGTTATCAAGGTCAACTCTACCCATTTAGAAAAAGAATCAACCATCACCAGGAATGTACGCCTGTGAAAGGGGCCAGCCAGATCAATATGCACCCGGGACCAAGGGGTCCCAGAATCTTCCCACCTGCCTGGAGTGGATGTGGGTGGAGCAGGTCTGGTAACTTGGCATGGCTGACAAGCATTCACCCAACTTGTAATCTGAGCATCCATGCCCGGCCACCATACATAACTGCGAGCTAGGGCTTTCATTCTGACAATGCCGGGATGCCCTTCATGCAGGACCTTTAAAACTGAGGCTTGCAACTTAGAAGGGATAACTACCCTAGTCCCCCAAAGTAAACAGCCTTGCAAAGAAGACAGTTCTTGCTGGCGAGTTTTGAAAGGCACGAATTCGGGGGCATAAGGAATTGCAGGCCACCCCCTTCCCACCCAGTCAAGGACTTGGGCGATTACCTTGTCCCTGGCAGAGTGGGCAGTGATATCAAGGGCGGTGATGGGAAGCTTGAGATCGTTGATCAGGAACACAGCATTAGTTGGTGCAGGATCCTCCACAGGAACAAGCAGGGGGCAGCGACTAAGAGCATCAGCGTGGCAGAGACTCTTGCCAGCTCGATGAACCAGTGTATAGGAATAGGCAGCCAGAAATAAAGTCCACCTGGTCATCCTTGGAGACAAAATCTGAGGAGTTTGTCTATCGCCTAACAGAAGGCCTAACAGAGGCTTGTGATCCGTAACCAACTCGAAATAGTGTCCATATAGAAACTCATGGATTTTTTTGACAGAAGCAACTGCAGCCAAAGCCTTGTCAATTTGGCTGTAGTTGCACTCAGCTGGGGAAAAAGTTCTGGAGAAAAAGGCAAGGGTGCCTCAGAACCATTAGGCAGCCTATGACTTAAAACAGCACCTATGCCAAAAGGAGAAGCATCTGCTACTAAAACTAAAGGTAAATACTCAATAAATTGGATTAGAACAGCATTGGATGAGAGCAATGATTTGACTGCACAGAAAGCATGGGCTTCCTTAGGTCCCCAGTGCCAGGGGGATTGCTTATCCATGAGTCTGTGCAGAGGCTCTGCAACGGAAGCTTTATCTGGCAAAAATGAAGCGTAAAAGTTGAGAAGTCCTAAAAAGGCCTGGAGCTCAGTTTTGTTAGTTGGTGTGGGTGCCTTGTGAATAGCCCTTACTTTGGATTCGATTGGGTGAATACCAGAGGCGTCAATTCTGTATCCCAAAAATTCTACCTATGGGGTGGCAATAGTGCACTTGTCTTTCTTTAACTTAAGACCATGCTGTCTGAAACGATCGAGGACTCCTCTGACTCTTTGCAGTAATTGAGACTTGTCAGGGGCAGATATTAAAATGTCATCAAAATACGGAATTACGCCTGGTAATCCTTGAAGAAGTCTTTCCATTAAAGATTGGAAAATCCCTGGGGCCACACTTACGCCAAATTGGAGGCGCCTACATTTAAAAGTGCCCCTGTGCATTACAATAGTTTGTCGTTCAGCGGCTGTGTCATCAACAGGGAACTGTTGATAGGCCTGTGACATGTCTAATTCCGCGGAAATGGTTCCTGGCTCCAAAGAATGTAGTAGGTGCTGGATAACAGGGACTGGATAAGCGCTGATTTGTAAATATTTATTCAATGATGTCTTGTAATCTGCTCAGATTCTTACGCTACCATCTTTCTTCAGGGGTGTCACTATTGGGGTTTCCCATTTTGCGAAGTCCACAGGCTCCAATACACCTTGTTTAATTAATTTGTCAAGCTCCATGTCTAATTTGGGCCGGATTGCAAAAGGTACCCTTTGAGGCTTTAAACGGATTGGTACTGCCTGAGGGTCCAAGTTGAAAGATATTGGGGTTCCTGAATAACAGCCCAGCCCCTCGCTGAACACATCAGCATAGTCATTAAACAAGGTGTCCACTTCAGCATTTGTAATAGAGTGGATTCCGCTTATATGGAGGTCAAGGGCAGGGAACCAGTCTAACCCCAACAGGCTAGGGAGGGCACCATCCACTACCACTAAAGGCAAGTGACCTTTAAAATTTTGAAATTGAACAAAAAACTTGCCTTTTCCGATGACTGGGATGGTTCTGCCTTGGTAGTGACATAGGGTTAACTGGCAGCCGTGAAGCTTCTTCTTAGCCATTTTGGGAAGTAGCTGTTTCAAGGTGCTCCATGAGATGATGGACAGTGCTGAGCCTGTGTCAACCTCCATCCTGCAAGGTTTCCCTTCTATAGAAACAAAAACACTGATTTTGTTAGAGCCTTTGTTAGTCAGCTTGGCTTGATAGCAGGTAAAACAGTCTTCACCTTGTTTTTGGAAATGTTAGGTTGTCTGAGGCTTTTGGGCAAAAGTCTTTCCTGCTTGACAGATCCTGCCTAAATGACCCTTCCTCTGGCATTTTAGACAAATGCCATTCCTGAACTTGCAGGGTGCCCTGAGGTGGTTTTCCCCACAGCTTAGACAAATGGGCTGAGGCCGTGGAGGTAGATTGGGGTTTGGCCTGTTCTCCCTTTGACTGGTTTTTTTGCTGCCTGAGGCAATTTACATCATTAGCCTCTTCATAGCCTTCTTCTGTGGAGGCTTCATCGTAATGGATGGCTGAGCTGCTCTGGTTAATTGGATTTCCCTGAATTTCTGCTGCTGAAAGTGCTGATAGTTCAGCAGCTTGAGACTCTTCAATTGCTAATTTAAGGGTTAAATCCCCTTTAGCCAATAGACGCCTTTGTAGCCTTAAATCCCTGACTCCACAAACTAGTTGGTCTAATAACATGTCTTCCAGATAGTCTCTAAACCCACAATGCAAGGCAGCTGTTCGTAGGGCAGCCATGTACCCACTAATAGTCTCTCCCTCAGCCTGAATCCGTCTCCTAAAAGCATGACACCTGGCAATTCGGGATGGCTTAGGGGAATAGTGGTTGGAAAGAATTTCCTGCAACTCTTCCCATGGAACAGTCTTAATTGAACGTGGAGCCAATAATGCCGTAGCAGTGTCAAACACTGTGGCTCCGCAAAAACTTAAAAAGTAGGACTTTTTCCTATGGTCGGAAATGTCCGCGAGGTCTATGGCATCTAGGAAACAGTCAAATCGGTTTCTATAGGATTCCCATGTTTCTGCTGTTGGTCTGAAAGGTGGGAATGCAGGGTTCGAAGTCATCTCGACTCAGCGGTGCCGGATCTTCCGAGGAAAGTTGAAATTCGCGCTCGCGAATAGTGACAGTAGCTCTTAAAGTGACATTCAGCTCGGTAGTGGCTCTTTTTTGTAGTGACTTCGCTTAGCGATTCTTTGCCCGGTTGCCTCTTATATGTATCCCACCCTCGTCGCCAGTGTTGTAGAGTGGCGGAATAACCTGAGGTGAACGTGGAGCGAACTTCAGCTTTACTTTATTGTAACAATAAAGGGCTGCCACGCTAACAAGGAAGCCAGCTGGCGGACAACAGCTGATGCCGTTTGACAGTTCCCTTTTATAGCTGGTTGTCAAACGGCATCAGCCAATAGGAACGGTCCGTGTTCCCGCTGGAAACACGGATCGGAGTGAAGACTTCAGCTCAGTCTTTTCTGAACGCCACAGTGGCATCACACAGACCTTAGGTTTATTTTCTTTTCAGTCATGTGATCTGAGCGGTATATGCATTATCTTGAACTAAGGGGCACCCTCCTCCTTCCGCAAGAGCCTGGAGACATTGCTCAGCCCGCTTGTCTGAGGACCAAATGGGAGAATTGCACGCTGGGGGTGTGCTGGATTGATGGCAGGTTCCATCTCCTCCCCTCTCTGCTCTCCCTCGGTCCATTTATAAATATCTTTAATAATGTCTCCTTAGTGTAGCCTATGGCAAGATAGTGCAGCAAATACATTTGACAAATAAATAATACTTTTTCTCTTTCAGTGGTCTGTATGAGAACTCTTCTTTTTAGCAACTAGGAAGAGGTCATCTGCTCTCCACTACCGCAGTTGGCCCGCCAGTTGGCAGGAAAACCTGGAATAAGTCTCCAAAGCAGACCTTAGATGTTGGTATGTTCCTAACACTTTAGGCTATACACATGTTAAGATGCCTGTAAAGACACCAAGGGTTGCTGAAAAGGTAAGACAGACCCCCACAACTTACATATTGTAACATTTTATGATCAGGAAATGCATGCTTGGTGAATAATAGCAGCATAAAAATGCACATGGCTCCAAACGAATCAGTATAGACAAAAGTCATTTTTCTCTAGATTAGAAAATTGTTCCTTAGATTGTTGTATGCCCTACTCACTAGTACACAATGCTTATGCAAATCTGATGTGTCTGTGCCAGAGGGATCCCTCTCTTGACCAAAGTTCAACTCCAAATAAATTGGAAGCCAGGTTTCTTGGCAACAAGATCACATTGAACTCTAGGTATGAAATTTATGAATTCATTATTTCTACATCTTGACAAGCAATTGGCTACATTCCAATTAATTGGGATGGCTTTGTTCTGATGTGCTTCATATGGCTCTGAGGTGAACTCTGCATATAGGAGATGCAAGAGAAGGATTTTCTTTGGGACATCTCTGGTATTGTTTGGAAAACACTAATCTGCTTCCATCTTTGCAATGCAGCTCCTGAGGTTGAAGTTTCCCTCTTAAAAGTTTTAATTTCAGTATTTAAGAAAAGCAAAAGATTTGACTTTTTAAAAAATAGAGAAAATTTGAGGGGGTTGTGAACAGCGTGACTGTTTCCATCAGTATCCTGGTCACCAGAGAAGACATTTTAGAAATTATGCCAAGTGACTTGTGAGATTATATTCTGTTAAGAAGATACTGGTGAGTGAAGTCTGGTAATAGTGATTTGGCCATCTTCTCATTGCTTGATCTGAATCCTACAAGAAATGTCTGGTATTGCTGTTCCATCCAGTGAGCTTCAAAAGTCAGTTTGTGGAATGTTGAGGGGAGAGTTGTAATGGATTTTTCCCACCATAGATAGAAAGTTCAACAACAACATGTTAATTAGATACAACCAAGAAAGATGATACGATTGGAACAAGTGAAAAACAATAAGGAGACCCATTAATAAAAATATATAGAATAAAAGTATACAGGAGTCTCTCCTGTAGAGTCTTTGATGCTCTGAGCCTGATTCTTTTCTTTCAGACATTACCAAACTACGTAGATAACATCAACATTGCTAGTAGGAAGTCGGATCTCTAGTAACAGTGATTAAGTTACTAGTTTGGTAATGAAATGTCTGAAGGAAAGCAACCTAGCTTAGAAAATACCAAGGACTCCACAGTTCAATACTGAGCTACAAATATTGCCTTTTATAGACATTTCTCCCTTAGCTAATCTTAATTTGACTCATTAAACTGAACAAATGTTATTCCTCAAAATGTCAGTGAGCTGAATGGTTAGAGATGAGAGGTTCTGCAGGTAATCTAAAACAGCAGTATGTTTAAAAAATTTGCTGACTTAAGCTTTTGTATCTGCACTTTTTGAATCAGAACCTAATTATTGCAATCTAATTGCATTAAAGCAACATGACTCTGCCCATGATCACCACAATACAGTATTTATTATTAAAACAATATGAGATTGCTCTTAACATACATGGGAACTTGGAGAGATGGGAGCAAGTGAAGATATGTGGTACATGATGTAAATGCACAAGTGATGTATCAATTTCATGACACAGCTGACTCCTTTCTCAGGATTACATAGATGGAAAAAGGTGAATGTATAATTAATGTTATCAGAGGGGGAAAAGAACATTATAGTGAGCAAGTGTAAAAGCTCTTCTGGTGTTTGGGAGATGATACTGTAGATATAATGTTGTTGGTGACAATATTGTAGAGAAAGTGTTGGAGGAAGGAAAACTTTTTTTGTGGCTTCACTTAAATTAATATAGGTGGAGCCCTGCAGGAACATATCTCTGGCAGACTAAAATATGGTTTGAGCTGATCAAATCTCATTGGAATCAGGGGAAAATCCACAAAGGCTTAGGGTGGCACAAAATAACTTTTGCCAAGAAATATGGAATTTGTCTTGAAGAATCTAAGAAGTGAGACAACCTGGGTTGAAGATTAATTTGACCTAGTAATTAACATTCTAATTTGGCATGAGTTTTAGTTAGAACCATTCCAGCTTCAGGTGAAAGGTTGAGTCTTCATATATCTGTAGACATACTACACAATGTCTGTATATTCTATATTTTTACTGAAACAGAAGATGCTGGATGTTGGGAAATGGCCATTATTTGCTCTCCACTCTCAAGAAGAATTGAAGTTAATTCGTCAGGTTTGCGTATTTGGCAGTGCTGGCAATGAAGCACTTTATGCAACTGAAAATGATGAGGTAACTTTTGAAGATATAACAGTGAATAATAACTGTTTGTCTTGGTGTTGACTTTAACTTCAGTTGTTTATGATTCCATACAAATCTAAAACTTAACATGCCAAGAATCTTTGCGTGCACATCTGTTTTAAGATTTGGAAGGCATGAGACTTCTCTGCCTTGCTTAATATGTAGCTTTTCCCCAGGTCTAACACAAAAAAGAATAAATATACAATATTGTACATCTGTTAAATAAGCCCCATTTTCATGTTGTTTATTGTAAATTTTGGGTTTTCTTGATGTACACTTTTGGTTTCCTTTAGGGCAGAATACATAAGGATGGCAGAAATGTGGCTAAAATATATGTCCTCAAATGTGTAAACTCAAAATTCACTATAAATACATTTTGGGTATTTTTAAATATTTTAATTATATATGCTTATAAAAGTATTTTGGTACTGACAGTATCATTATGTAATAGGTTTTTGCTTTAGGCACTAACTGCAGCGGATGTTTAGGAATTGGTGATGTACAGAGCAACATTGAACCTCGAAGAATAGATATTTTATGTGGCAAAAAATTAGCTTCCCTCAGTTATGGAAGTGGACCTCATGTTGTTCTGGCTACTACTGGTATGTTATGTGGTTCTAGCTATGGTTATTTTATTAATATATTCCTTTTGTTCTTTCTTTTGAAAATAATATTATTAAGAAAGGAAAGCAAAGAAATTCTGGGGAGATGCTGAAATTACTTTTCTTTAACTGATAAAGTAGATGGAATTAGATAATTTTACTTAGAGCTTAGCTGTTAGAATAGTACATGGAACTGATGTACAAATACTCCTTGACTTGCACTTAAAATTTGGACTGTAATTTCTGTTGCTAAGTAATGCAATGATTAAGTGAGTCACACCCTATTTTATTACTTTTATGCTGTGGGTATTAAGAGAATCCAGTTTAGCCCATTGACTTGTCAGAAGCCCCAAGAAGGTTGCAAGTGACAATCATGTAACCCTGGGAGATTGCAGCCATTGTAAATATATTGGTGCTGTTAAGTGCCTGAACTTTAATTGTGTGAATGCTGCATGTTGTAAGTATGAGGACTGGTCATAAAATCATTTTTTTTCAACAGCATCATAACTTCAAACAGTCGAAAAACAAATGGTCATAAGTTAAGAACTACTTGTAATAACACTTAGCGATTTGCTTTTAACATGGTTAAAAAATATTCAAAATTTGTAATAAAACAGAACTTGGATGATAGGTAAGCTTTCTGAATTTTAGGATATATTTGTTCTATAGCTGTACATATTCATTAAATGTTACAAAGCATGAAAAATGAGATGCGTTTCTACCTCAAAACACATAAAAAATCAAGCAAGTCTGTACAATCTGACTACTGTAGATTCTACAAAGTTACAAATATTGTTTCTGTTTGCCCTGGAGTTTTTGTCAATAGGAGATACTGAAAGTAACATTATTTTGTTATAGTCCCTCTTTATAGATTTGTGTAAATTAGATGATATATATGTGCTTGGATATAGCAGCTTGGTATTAGATGGGATATAAACAACAACAAAAAATTGATTGAATATAATACATATAATGAGATAATAGATTGGACTACAAAAACATTAGGGAATGGAAAAAACAATATAGCAGTATCCCAAGAAGATTTTTTTTCTAGAGAATTAATTTTGTATCCAAATTTCCTTAGAATATTCTAGAAATGAGCTATATTTTGTGGGCTCTGAAAGATTTACCAGTTTCAATGAACAAGCTCTGCTTATAAGATCATTGTAGTTGCTGAGCTGTGCTTCATTTTCTTGATATTGTTCAATTTTAACAGTTATAGTAATAGCACTTATACATACATACATACATGCATGCATGCATACATACATACATACACTTCATAGTGCTTTACAACCCTCTTTAGCAGTTTGCAGCATATTTTCTCCAACAATCTGGGTCCTTAACTTTATCAACCTCAGAAGGATAGAAGGTTGAATCAATCTTGAGCTAGTCAGAATCTAACTCCTAGATGTGGGCAGAGTTAGCCTGCAATTCTGAATTCCGACCACTGTGTTATGCTTAAAAAAATAAAAATCTTAAAGTGGGATTTCTATTGAGTTATTTAAATGTATTTAAATTAGGTGATTAGTTTAATTAATAACAAGCTAGCCTTCTAGGCTGAATAGTAAATTGCATCAGTTCTGGTTTCAATACTGTTGCTAGTAGTGCATATAGGATTCATAACATGCTGCCATTTCTGCTTGCATTCTTTCTTTCATAGCAAAATCTACAGAGATTGGTTTACGTTGATTTGATGGATGCTGGTTTCCATGAGACCATCTGAGCAGATCATCAGAAATTTCATTTTGCAATAAAGGAATTTTGGTTTGAGTTCACAGTATTTGCCTTAGGTGTTTGAATGTTTAATGGTTATTGATAGTTTTCCTTACCTTGTTTTTACTGACAATCCCTCAAGTGAAGAAGCTACCCATATCACAGCCACCTTGACTAGATCATTTGCACTTTTATGTCAACTATGAGGTGTCACTACTGACCAACTTGCATTACATGTTTGCCCAAAGTCTCAAATTAGTTCCTTGGTAAATTCACCTGTTCTTATTGGTTGATAAAGTAGTCATGCCCATTGCTCTTGAATTGTGATTAATGACAATACAATCACTTTGAATCCATTTCCAGAAGCAGATCTTGGGCTATATTGTGGTGATTATGGATGTCCAGAATGCCAATTTTCAGATATGATCACTGCAGTATTGGTTTATGATATATTTTTCTCCACAAGCTTACCAAGCACAATTTCAACTCAACTGTCTACTTTGTTTCATCACACCCACCTACATGAATCAAATGCTTCCATTCTTCATGTAAGATCCACTTGGATTCTTAACTTGTGTACCTGGGCAAGCCTTGGACCAGACCATTTAGAGAATGAGTTCCCATACTGTTTCACTGTTTGGACAAATGCTGTAGGCCATCTGCCCAGTTCCACAATAATAAAATTGTTGTGAAAATTAATCACTATTGATTAATTATCATAGTTTTTATTTGGAATAGAGCCAGTTATTTAAGATGTTACATATATTTGCATAAGTCACAAAAGTGTGTTCATTGGTGATAGTGATCATTCACATAGCTAAACTTTTTCCACTATTATCTCTGGACCTGAACAATATCAATGTCACTTGCAAGTTCATAAAGTATTCAGTTTTCTGACATATGTACCGCAACTATTAGATCAGATGTCAGACTTCATATGACACTATTGCCTAGAAAGGATGTAGTTAAGGCCTAGTTGTCAGATAACTGCAGTTTATTAGATATCTATATAAGTGATGTACAGAGAAGTGAAGAACAGGCAATATATGTGAAATTATAGTTCTTCAAAGTATAATCTTTATATATTTTCCACTCAAGCATGTCTAAATTAGAGTTAGGAACTGAGGTAACTAAAAGGTAAATCTTTGGAACTGAGGTAACTAAAGGTAAATCTTTGAGGTATATGCCCCAAAGAAGCAATCTTTCAGGTCTGTCAAATGCAGTTTGGCTCTAGAATGTTCTGATGATATCTGTGCAGCTGGTAACAAGCCCTTTGAAGCCAATGGGGGAAAGTTTGATGTTGGATCTTTTTAATAAGAGTGAGATAATAAAAGAGAAAGCAGATGGTCACATTATTTTGTATATCATGTAAAAAAACCTCTACTTAAAGGATAACAATATTTGAATATTGATTGGTTGACAGACACCATTCCCTTCTAAGCCTGCCATCTACTGTTTATTCGTTTCAACCTTTATTATATTGATTAATGTTAGCAAAGGGCTTGCTTTTTATTATGATCTATGTAATTATTTCACAATGAAGGAAAATCATTTTGTGAAAAAGATAACTTGCAATGTAGCCAGTATTTATATCAGATTTTCAAAACTGTTTTCTTATATTATAGAAGGAGAAGTATATGCTTGGGGTCATAATGCTTACAGTCAAGTGGGAAATGGAACAACCAGTCATAGCTACATTCCTTGCCAAATCTCCACCAACTTGGTAAACAAAAAAGTAATTGAAGTTGCCTGTGGCTCCCATCATTCAATGGTATTGACTGCTGACGGTGAGGTGAGAAGAATTATTGTATTTCTGTTCAAGTTGCTTTTGAATTTTGTATCAATTTTATTTTTTATATAATTTTTATTAAAGAACAAAGTTAAAAGGTGTGAAAAATGAAGAAAAAAACAAAGAAATAAAAGGAAAACATGTTGAAAATAATAGAAAGTGAAGAAAAAAGATGCTTAAAGAAGCTACTTTCAATCTTTACACCAATTAGATTTACTTGGTACCATTTTCCCTTTCAAAATAACATATGGTAATTTCCTTCTCCCATATATAGTCCTTTTTAAACAGGTAAATCCAGAAATCACCAGGTCATTTTTTTCCATTTTCAGGGGGGAAAAAACAAGGAGTTTTATATAAAAAATTTAAAGGAGCAAGAATTCAGTGTTAAAACTTAAAAGTAAAATGTTTCCCCTGTCCAGTGGTGTCCTAACTCAAGGGGGCAGTACTCATCTCTGTTTCTTAGCTGACAGCCAGCTTTGCCCAAAGACGCTTTTGTGGTCATGTGGCCAGCTTGACTATATGCCAAGGGGAATGGAACACTCTTGCCTTCCCACTGAAGTGGTACCTATTTATTCACATTTGTATGCTTTTGAACTGCTAGGTGGGCAGGACCTCAGGCAAGTAAGAGCTCGGTGCTTGGGTCTCGAATCCAGACTGTCAGTTTTCCAGCTGACAAAATCAGCATCTTTAACCACTTAACCATTGTACCGCCACAGTGTTAAAATTAGAAATCATTAATTTTAACAGGGGGTGGGTGGGTACAATGGCTAAGAGGTTAAAGATGCTGATTTTGTCAGTAATGTCAGCATTTTCCTTAATGCTGTCATATTTGTGGTCCTTAATTATCTAAGCAATGATTTTTACTCTTTCTGATAAAAATAATCATTGCAACCAATTTTTGTGCTCTGTCCCATGTTTGAATAAATTTAGATATCAAAAGTCTATTTAAAATTGTCTTTCCCAGGCTGATAGGCCGTTTACTAAATATGAACAAGGTATAACCCTGTTGGAACAAGTCCTTAATTTTTTAGCTGTAACCAGGAAGGAAGTATTTTTTTAACATACTGTGCTGTACTATCTTTACAATATATAGGAAGGTACTGTACAAGCTTAAATAAATATAAAACATTGTACTGTATATGTTCCAGTTCAATTGCTTCCATATCATAATTCTACGAATGCATTGGTTTTCTGTTGAAAGTAAAATTGTAACCCTACTTCAGGAGACTTAGTGCTATTTTTCAAATCTCCATCTTCAGAGTTATACCAAATTATTGGAACAATTATTGTCATTCTCCTTCATGGAATTGGCACTTACCCTTCTGTTATTTTGCATTTCAGCTCCATTTCACATAGACTTTTTGTAGGTCTTTTTTCCCCATTGGATCAACATAAGTGGACTGTTTAAATCAGGGGTCTTCAAACTTGACAGCTGTAAGACTTGTGGACTTCAACTCCCAGAATTCCTCCTCCAGTCATGTTAGCTCAGGAATTCTGGGAGTTGAAGTCCACAAGTCTTAAATTTGCCACGTTTGAAGACCCTTGGTTTAAATGTAGGTCAGAATTAGACTTAACCACATAAACCAGATATACAGAGTTAAGAAGTATGTGAACTGGAAAATAAATGCATCTGCATGCAGTTTTGGGAAGAGATACCTTTGGTTTAAAGAGTTTTAAGCAGATAAAGCAGATGCTGCATTCACACTGGTACAGACTGAAGCATCTTGTTGACTTCAAATGTGAAACATGGATAATTACAGTAAGCAGCATTAATTTTATGTACTTGAATATTTTTTATAGTAGGTAAAAAATATTTGAACTTTTGTGCCTGAATCATCCATTGTAAATACTTTTGTATTTTTATTTCAATATTGTTTTTGTAATTTAAGACATGATAACTCAATAACATAGTTTTCTAGTTTTGATTTTAGAAAAAGGTGCTAGAAGTATTGACAGAAATCTGTCCACAAAAAAAAAGACATGTTTTATTCCATGCGCAAAACACAATAGTTCTGCATGGAGTTGAATCCCTATCAGTTAGCTAATTTTGCTTTCCATTCTTTCTTTTATTAGAGTGCTATTTTTATGAAAACAAATGTATTTCTAGAATGATGTACCAGTCTGTTACAAGTTTATTTTTGCAGGTATATTCATGGGGTTATAATAATTCAGGACAAATTGGATCTGGTTCAACAGCCAATCAGCCTATTCCTCGAAGAGTTACTGGCTGCTTACAAAACAAGATAGCAATTAACATTGCTTGTGGTCAGATGTGCTCAATGGCTGTGATAGAAAATGGTGAGGTAAGGTATTGTTCTGTATTACAGACTTTTTTTTTTAATATACAAAGCCTTATTGTTCATGGTGTGAAATTGTTCATGGTGCCTATCTCTTCAATTATTAGTCAATGGAGCCAATTAAGAAGAATTATATGTCAAACCTATATGCTGAATTCTAAGATAGTAGAATTTAGATGTCAGCTAATATCTAATATTTCTTAAAAAAGTTCATAAATAAAAATAGTAATGCTAGTACACCCAAGTACTATTGCATAAGAAGGCTTGCCATCAGTAAATAGGGTTTTTCACCTTCTTGTTGAAACTCGTTTGATTAAATCAAAATAAATCTGGTTAGTGTTGTTCTCAGAAAAAAATCTAATGTAGAATAAGAGTGGTTATAAGCTTGCATTTCCTTCTGGATGCTTTTAGTTGTATTTTCTCCCATCATCTCTGTTTTTGTTGTTGTTTTTCACAGTTCAGATGATGGAGCCCAAACTGGCTTCTGAACTGAAAAATCCATCAGCCCTTTTGCCTTTCAAGGGCTGTTTGCTGATATTCCTCCTGGCCTTTCTGCATGCTCACACATGCACTGCGCCCTCCTTCCCCTCATTACTTTCCACACATACATTCAATGCACCGCCTTTATTCCCTTGCAGGTTACACCGCAACCTCCTTCCTGTGCTTATGCCAGACCTTAGCATATTCCCCTCACTAACTCGCACACAACCTGTGCCAGGTATCCCAGGGCCTTCTCCATCCTCCTATGGCACCCCCATATTCCCTCTGCTTTCCCTTTAATCACTTGTCCTGGGTCACAATAACAAGATGCACTGCTTGGTTTGCTGTCACACTTTACAACAATATCGCAACAGAAGTCCTAATTGTCATTGTTATTCAAGGACTCAGAATACAGAATAAATCAGATGCCTTGATCTAAATCATTTGGAGAATACCTCTCCTCCCCTCCCTTATTTTTCTCCTTTTCATATAATGTAGGCTAATGACCTTTAGGTTATGACATGTACCTGAACTTTCATGAATCTCTTTGGATTTTAGCTAGTAGCTAGGAAGTTTCAACCTTATCATTACAGTTTCCACGAATTAATATAAAGAGAATGTACTTTGTGTTGCTAAATCTGTATAGTAAATTGGAAAGATGGTTTTGATTGAGATAATATTAGCATTTTATCTTGATATAATTCAGTAGAAATAATGAAGATCAAAGTCTGAATAATTAACTAAAAGTTCTTGTGGACTGGAAATTACATAGATGTATTACCGTTTTTATTTACCATATTGAGTACTTGGGACAAATAGTTTGGAGTAGTCTTGGTTTATCTTTCCACTGTGCTTCTTGAAAAACTAACGCTTGCTTACATGTCTGTCTGATTTCTGTCTCAATTGTCGAATGTATGGCAGCTAGCCTTTGCTTGATTTCAACCAGTGTAAAATGCAGCAAATTGTTTATTAAATGCACTTATACAGATGTTAGAGATGTTGAATTAGTTTCAAGTTAGATTCCACTAATTCATCATTCAGTTTAATACTTTCTTAAACTTAAAAGAGATCTAGCAGTTGTGGCAATTTAATTCTTCTGACTCAAACCTCTAATGAGATGCTGTCCTCTGAACATCATGAAGACCAAAGTAGTTTGTAGATTTGGGCTGCCTCCTATAAGGATGGACTATTCTTAGAAAAGCTGGCAAAGATAATTTGCTATCTGGAGCTTTTAAACAGCTATTGCCTTATACATTTATGTATCTTGTTATGCTACGATTGCCTTTATGTTCTTCCGTTGTGTGTGGTTTTTTTTAAAGAGTAGTTGAGAAGTGACACCTCTCTCTAAGATTCTCATGGCCCATCACTCATGAAGGACCCAAGAGATAATGGGAAGGGAGAACAAGAAAAACCATTACCTAAGTAAAATCTAGTTCCAAAATGGCATAAAGCTGCCATTTTCACCAATGCACTGCTGGTGCTGAAAGGAGGTATTTGAAGATAAGACTGTTCAAGCTGTTTACCACCTTGGAATCAATTGAAATTTCCCTGAGCATGGGACAGCTTATCATCCACAAGTTGTTTTAATGTTAGCTTGATCTCAAGTGTTTTAATATCTCCATAGAGGATAATATTATTACGGTTTTACATAAATGAAGAGTAAAATATATAGGGAAAAATCGTACATAAAATTAATTTACAGACCAGTTTTAATCAATTCTGTTTTTTTCTTTCTTTCTTTTTTTTTCTTCTTTTTTTTTGCTTTATATGTACTCCCACATACTGACTAGATTTATCTCCCTTTTAAGGTTTATGTTTGGGGTTATAATGGTAATGGACAGCTTGGATTAGGCAATGGTGGCAATCAGCCGACACCATGCAGAATAGCAGCTTTACAGGGCATCCACGTGCAAAGGGTATGTTTTCTGGATCTTCAGATCCTAACTGCTAATTTACTGGGATTTCTGGTGCATTCAAAACACTAGTTACAAACGAATAGCCAATTGTAAACAATTTAAATATTAGTTTTCATCTGTACTTTTTAATATTTTGCATCTTTATTTCATAGTTTAACTGATACTAGCCATTTTAAATATTGAGATGAATAGAAAGTATAAGTAAAATTTAGTTAGACTTCTTATGTATTGAAAATAGCTGCCGTGAACAAAGTGATATTGTCAATAACTTAATGAGATGTCCAGTGCTTGTAGCAATAAGAATCTTAAAGAGTTGGAAGACAAGACTAGCTCAAAGTCACCCAGCTGGCTTTGTGCCTAAGGCAGGACTAGAATTCAGTTTCCTGTTTTTACCCTGTTGTCTTAACCGCCAGGCCAAAATGGCTCTCTTTCATAAATATATATCCATAATTTTACATTGCAGATCTACTACAGCAAAAATGTTTATTTGTTTGTTTATTTTTTTATTTTGTCTCTCACCTTCGTTATTTTTATAAATAACTCAAGACAGCAAACATATCCAAACATATCTTCCACCTCCTTTTTCCCCACAACAACAACCCTGTGAGGTGGGTTGTGCTGAGAGAGAGCGACCAGCCCAAAGTCATCTAGTTGGCTTTTATGGCTTAGGTGAGACCTGAAGTTGCATACCACATCCTCACATGTAAAATCATTGCAACATCCCCATAGTCATGTAATCGCATTATTCAGCTACTTGGCAACTGGTGTTTTTACAACCGTTGGAGTACAAAATCATCATTTCAACCTTCTCAGCTGGCTTCCAACAATGGAGTCAGTGGAGGAAGCTGGATTCATGTAATAACATAGTGATTCATTTAGTGACTGGTGAAAAAGATCATAGAATTGGGAACAACCACATGATTACTCACATAATGACCACATTGCTTAACAATGGAAGTCCTAATCCCAGTTGTGGTTGTAAATCAAGAACTTATGTCTATAGGTAGTCTAGAAAGAACAAAGCTGACACAAATATTTAGTAGATTAATTTTCTCCTAATTCCCACTCTTCCTCATAATTCTTGATTTCATTCTTGGCCTGGATATTGCCTATCTGGCACCTCTTTAGTGCATCTTCCCCAATATGACGGGAATCTGTAATTCAGCAAGAAGATGGCCAAAGTTTGGCTTGTTTATTTTGGAGTTAGGGAGGATGGTTGATCTCTCTTAGGCAGGGTTAATGAATCAGCCTACATGTTTTATTATCTGCCCATCTGCTTTTGAGACAAGGAGCTCTGTGTACCTCACAGTTAGGCCCAGCTCTTTTGAGCATCTTTGGTTTTTTTTAAAAAAATCAAACTATACTTTATTTTTTATTTTGTTTTCCAAAAAATGCTTACATTAAAAAAATGTGAAGGTTTTTTTCCCCATCTTTTCAAGGAATCAGCAAAAACAGAACACAATTTCTGAATAAAAGAATGTAATTCTTTTTCTTTTCTAGATTGCCTGTGGCTATGCACATACCCTAGTGTTAACAGATGAAGGCCATGTCTATGCTTGGGGAGCCAATTCTTATGGCCAGCTGGGAACTGGCAATAGGAGTAACCAGACGTACCCTCTGCTGGTTACAGTACATCAAGACAGGTACGGTTTTGTTCATCTTGACTCAATTGGATGAGTTTTAGGCTGTAATAATGCTTGTTACTGAATTGTCTGATTTTAAGGAAGCTTACAATCATATAAAAGTACTTCTAGCAGACAAAAACTGCCATTTGAATTAGTAATTATTTTTATACAAGGTGTATTCTATGTTTTTATGCCACAAATACGATCCAAAACATAGGTATCTCAATTTGTAAATAAAAATAAGACAAAAATAAGTACAAATAGTAGTAAAGAAAATACAGGTAGTCCTTATTTATGACCACAATTTGAGTGCATAATTTATATTGCTAAGTGAGAAATTTGTCAAAAAGTCAGTTTTGTCCCATTTTATGACTTTCCTTGCCACATTTTTAAAGTGAATCACTGCGTTTGTTAAATTAGTAACCTGATTTCCCCATTGATTTTGCTCGGCAAAAGGTCGCAAAAGATGGTCCCATGACCCCAGGACACTGCAGCCCTCATTAATATCAACCAGTTGTCAAGCATCTGAATGTAAATCATGTGACCACGAGGATGCTGCAATGGTCATAAGTGTGAAATATGGTCATAAGTCACTTTTTTTCAGTGCCATTGTAACTTTCAATGGTCATTAATGATGTAAGTTGAGGAGTACCTGTACATCAGGAATGGAATCATACATTCTGAACCAAAACTTGAAAAACAAAAGTTTAAACAAAAGTTAGTTTTTGAAGTATTGCTAGCAAGACTACCAGATTCTGTAACAGCTTTGTTCCCTATGCCATCAGTTTGGTAAACTCACAAGATTCATTTTTCTTACCATGTACATGTACACGTATGAACTAGACCACGAGTCATCAACCTTTCGGCCCTCAGGGACCACTAAATTCATAATTTTAAATCCCACTAATATGATTTGCCTAATGACCGGGTGGGCATGGCTAGTTGGTCCTGTGACTAGGTGGTGTGGCCAACTCGATGTCAGTCACCAACCTCTACTTGTCCCCCCCCCCCCCGAGACCCTTCCCCCCCCCCCCCCCCCCCCCGGTTCCTTATGGCCCCACAGGAAGCAGTTCTTGGAGCTAAGCAACCACCATGAGAAAGAGTTGGCAAAACAGCTGGCTCAGTTCAAATTGGATCTGACTGAGAAGGAGGCTCAGCAGAAGCACCTCACTGAGGACTAGGAGCATAGGCTATCCAAACAGAGGGAAGACTTGCGGGAATGCAAGGCCAGGTACCAGTGCCTGGAGGCTCAGCAGGCTGAGATGGTCAGTGGTCAGCCAGTTCCAGGCCATGATGCAGTCCTACTGGAATGAGGCCCTTCAGCCTTCGCCCAAAGTTCTGCACCAGGAGGCTAAAGCAGATCCCAATTTCTGCCTCCCTCCGACCCGCACAAAAAGACCCCAAAGGGGGAGACACTCTGCAGCAACACAAACATTAATTGAATGTATCCAACCCGGGGGTTATAGTTTGAGGACCCCTGATTTAGTGCAATATAAAAAATGCAAATAATTTTTCTGTGGACCACCAAAATTTACTTGCGGACCACCAGTGATCCACAGACCACCAGTTGGTGACTGCTGAACTAGACTGTGTTGTTTCACTGGTCATATAATATATATGGGTATATGATCACTTACTTCAGGGGTCCCCAACCACCGGTCCGCGGACCGGTACCGGTCCGTGGAACAAGTCCTACCGGGCCGCTGGCTTGCTGGGCGCCGCCATCTTTTTTTGATGAAAAAGTGCTTCCGGTGAGCTTTTCCGGGTAGAAAGCTCACCGGAAGCACTTTTTCATCAAAAAAAGATGGTGGCGCCCAGCTAATGCCGGTACCGGGCCGCGCCATAAAAAAGGTTGGGGATACCGGGCCGCGGCGTAAAAAAGGTTGGGGATCACTGACTTACTTACTTACTTACTTACTTACTTATTTATTTATTCATTTATTCATGTTTCTGTAGTGTACATTAGAGGTATATTAACTTGGTAAAAAATGACCCAGCAGGAGACAATAAAGTTCTATGAGGAAATGTTAGAACTGGCAACAAAGATTTATAAGAAAATGATGGGAATATTTAAAGATAAAGATGTGAAAGTAGAAGGCCCTCAACAAATGGTGGGAAAAGATGAATATAATACACAGAAGACAGATGAGAAATTAGAAGAAGTGGAGGAGGAAACAGCAAAATATACTACAAGAAGATAAAAATAAGTTACAAGCAGATTAAAAACACTGAAAAGACAGCAACAATAAATATTAAAAATCAAATAGATAATTCCTTAAAAGCTTGCAATAGAATAGAGGAAAAAAAGGAAGATTTTCCAAAAATAATGAAAGGGTTATGGATGGATACGTAAAAGATGCAGCAGAAGGAGATAAAGGGTAAGGCAGAGGGAACAATTAGTCTGTGCAAAAATGTTAGAAAGACATATAGGATTCCTATATAAAAGAATCACCCAAAAAATTAAAAAAATATGAAATTCTAAAAAGGCTGAGAGATTATGGATAGAGACATAATACCTTGCAATATAGTAATTATATTAAAAACCAATAGAAATAAGGGGAAAGTTTAAATTGGGAAAATAGTAGCACATATATAGATATATAATAGAATTTATTATAACCATAAATATATTAAGATTAGGAGGTGGAATAGGATTTGGGTATATCTAAATCAGTGGTGGGTTTCAAAGTAGTTTACCACTGGTTCGGTGGGTGTGGCTTGGTGGGCGTGCTTTGCACGCACGCACACACCCTTTGCACGCACACCAAACGCACACTTTGCGCACGTGCAGAAGCTTTCCTGCCTCCTGCAATCCTGCACTCTCTCCCTGTAGCTTCAACAGCTGCTCTTCAAAAGCAGGGAATAAAGGTCAGTATGGGAGCCCAGGTGGGCCCAACAGCAGTTTGTCAGAGAGAACCAGTTCAGTCTCAGCTGATCTTCGGCGCTACCGGTACGTCGAACAGGAAGAATAGCACCACTGACTGTATTATGATTAACGGTGCAAAAAAAATAAACTGCAATATATAGTTTTCAAGGACTATAAATACAGGGGATTTAGAGATATAATCTGGGGACTGATTAAATCTTATTAACAATTGGTTTTATTGGTGTTTATAGAAAATTGAGATATTGAAAATGTGGAACACTGAGGGATATTTATAATATTAAAACATTAGTAACTCAACTCCTGTTAACAGGAGTTAATAAGTAGTATTGTAGGAAGAAATGTTATTGATGTTTACATATATTTTTGGAGAAAGTGATAAAAAATAAAGAGAAAAGAGTATTGTTTAAAGATAATGAGGTGAATATAGAAGAACCCCAACAAACGAGAAAAATAAAGAAATAAGTACAAATTGGGAAAATAGTATAATATATATTGATACATAAAAGAATATATTATAATGAGCATATCAAGTTTAGAAGTTGGAAGATAAAAACTCTGTATGTGTAATTGTATTATTACTGTTAGCATTGTGTGAAAAATACATTAACCCAGTCATTATACTGTCCACAAAAAATGTTGGTTGTTAAAGGAGAACCACAAATAAAACATATACAGCAAAAGAAGTCCCCTTTTTCAACGCTGTAATAACTTTAAGCCACCATTAAATAAATAAATCAAGGACTACCTGTTCTACTATTTCAGCACCATTGTAAATTCAAATGGTTGCTGAACAAGTGATCATTAACCAACAACCACTTGTACTCATAGAATGCTTATGCTTAATATATATTTAAAACCTGTCATCTGTATTATGTATGTATCATCAGAGCTTCCTTCCCTGGTCAATTACAGAGGGATACCTAACAACTCACCAAAATAGTCTTTTTCTGCCATAATACTGCTTCTTACTATTTCAAATAATTCTCAACACAGACTCAGATATGGCATCTGAATTTGGGCAATAACACCGCATAACATTCTCAAGAATGATCTAAAATTCAGTTCAATGTTTTTCTGATGGTAATCAATTTTCAATGCTGGTTGAGTAGCTCTGAAATTCTCAGGGAAAGTCATTATTTCTTTCATGCTTTGTTTTTAATTTTTAACTTTTGAAATTATGACAGTACAAGATTCTACATGTATCTGTGGATTGTAATCGAAAAATCTTTTTGCCATAATAAATTTATTATTTTTTAAGATGCCAGTTGGTGATGTTTGTTGCAATAGATCAATATAGATAACTTTGGAAATAAAAACAAAATGTGCCTTCTTATTTTAAATAATGAATATAATATTTCAGTAATATATAATATTTCAGTAAAAAGGAGGGAGTTAAAACAACATTGAAATTATTAAAGTTCAGAAAGTGGGGAGGACGGTCTTTAAGATGTAACCAACCTCAAAATTGTGTGTTCTTCTGTGAGCTTTATGTGAGTCAGCAGAGCCAGGTCTTCAAACTCTTCCGAAAGGCCAGAAGAATGAGGACCCACCTCACCTCTTGGGTGAGAAGTCTCTCTTCTTGGACTCTACCAGTTGGAATTCTTTAATTGATAGGATCCATAACCTGCCTTCCCTGCCTGACTAGGTGGGGCAGGCGGTTCCACAGGTAACCTGGCTGTGAATGTTCGCCTTATACTTCTGCATTTTTTATTTTTTGTTTTTCAAATTCAGAATTCTAGAGATTGCAGCATGTCACTCTACTCACACCTCTGCTGCTAAAACCCAGGGTGGTGATGTGTATATGTGGGGTCAGTGCCGGGGACAGTCCATCATTCTTCCATTCCTCACCCACTTCGGTTGCACTGATGATGTGTTTGCTTGTTTTGCTACTCCTGCAGTGACTTGGCGTCTCCTTTCAGTAGGTGAGCTTCAAATTAACTTTTTTAAATGCTTGCATTCCTGAATCTGAATTAGATATTGAAGATGTATAAATTACCATATTTTAAGTGGAGCCCTTGAAAAGAATTTGAATCATGATTTGGAGGAAAAAGTCACAGTCTTTTTGGCTATCAATAGTGCATCCTAGGATAAAGATACAACTCTTTTGTATGTTCCCCATTTTTCTGCTTCGTTGCGTGTGGGCTATAATAACAGTAAGGAGCAACCACCCATTCTGGACTTTTGACATTTCTTTCAGTCTGGTATTCTGTAGCAGTGGTCCCCAACCTTTCTGGCTCCATTGACAGGCAGCAGCAGTAGCGCAGCACAGAGGAGAGAGAAGGAATGGTTTGGCGGACACATGCGCAAATGAACCTTTGCACGCTCATTCGCTACTTGTGTGGCCCAGTTCTCAGCGGGCTACAGACTGGTACATGGCCCTGAGGTTGGGGACCCCTGCTGCAGAAGATGTAAAAGTAAAAATCAAATGCATTGGGAGTGAAAAAGTTATTGAAGAATCCTGGGCCTAAGACAAAACCTTGTGATACCCCACTGCTTACTTCACTTTGTTAGCTAGTTATAAATCTATCTGGTGGTGATGCTGTCTATCCAACATTTTTTTTAGCTTACCAAGAAGTAAGTTTTATGATAAAACAAAATAAATATACTTAAAGAAAAGAAGTGTGCAGAGAAAGTGATTCTTGAAGCACCCTGGAACAGGGCCTAGACTTATCACCTGAACAAACATCAACTGGAACCCACCATACTGAAGAGGAGAACCACTGCAAAAAGGTTCCTCCACTCCTATCGTCCTAAGGTGGTCCAGAAGAATTACATACTCAATGAAATCAAAGGCAAGTGAGAGAGGTCAAAGAAGGCCAGAGTAGATGTATTGCACCCAACCTGAGCCAAGCAAAGGTCATCCACCAATGGGACCAAAGTCATCTCGATGCTATGATCCAGCCTGGAACCTCACTGAAATGGATCGTAGGCGGATTGTAGTTTATATACTTCTTCCAGATTGGCTTATTGTTATGAATCACTATATTTAAGAGATTGCTTTTTGGAATTATTCTGTCTACCACCCAGACTTGTATCATTTGGGGTACAGAAATATCTTTCATAAATAATTTTAATAACTTTTTTAAAATAAAAAAGAATAAAAAATGGAAATAGCTTGTGGTCTACTTTGTCAAATTTCTTACTGAAATCCAAGCATTTTATGTCTAAAGCATTTCACTGGTCCACTAATTTAATTCACTTTGTCAAAGAGTGAATCATTTGCTCATTATTCCTGAATGATTCTGATCCAGTAAATTCAAATATATTATGTAGAGAAGAATGTAACAACAATATCCTCTTCTCTTTTTGCTTTATTTATATCCAGGTTCTGTAGTGATTTTTTTTTGTAATGAAAAATGCAGTTTGTTGTTTGATTTCCATTGTTTTCTTGTTTTTATGTACTATGAAAGAGATTGAAATAGAAAGTATTACTGAAAAATATTTGCAATATTTTTGTTTCAGATCCTGATGATCACTTAACAATAGCTCAGTCAATAAAGAAGGAATTTGACAACCCAGATAATGCTGATTTGAGGTTTCAAGTCGATGGAAAATACATTTATGTTCATAAAGTGCTCCTCAAAATTAGGTATGAAATTATCAATCTTCTCAGATATTTTCATTATCTTCCCTGGCCTTTTTGCCCATATTCAGAAATTTTTTTCCAGTAGTATCAAAATACGTATCTGTGATACTAAATTTCACTACTAATAGGCGTTTTTCATAGCTTTCTATAATAACAGTTGGCATCTTTGCATAGACTTATGAAAGCCATTGAACTGATGTATAATTCCAGTAAACATCACTTTTTAAAATAATGATGCAGTTACAATTTGAAAATACTTGTAAGTTATAAAGGGCCATGATAGGCAGCCACATACGTGGAGATGTGGCTTTGCATTAGTAAGGTACTGTTGAGAAAATGCAAAGTACAGAGGCGCAGACTCTTCTACAAGCAGCTTAAAATAAATAGCTTAGTAAGATTCCAAGGAGAAGAGGCCATTTAAAAATTTGAAAATTGCCTTTGTGCTTATTATGTCTTTATCTTCAACTTATATACGTATGTCTTCAAGTGAGAGACCTTCTCTTTCTAGCTCCCCAATATGTATCTTATCCCTCTATTCAGCCGGAGTTTGATGTGTTTTTCATTAAGTGAATAATCTACCATGCATGAATAAGCAGCTTCATGATCAGCAAAATACTGTGCTGACTATTACATTGTCAAAAATGGAGATAAGTCTCTACAAGGTATATAATTCAAAGCCAGTTTAGCGTAGCAGTAAGGCCAAAAGACTGTCAATTCCACAATTAATATGGAACAGGAATGATTCAGTCCCTCTTTGATACAGGTTACGTTTGCATGAGTTCATCTTTCTCATATCATTTTCATGTTAATCTTTCAGGTTTTCTGTTACATGGTAGGAATCAAGTTGTTTGTTGGTGCTGATCAGAGGTGGTATTTAGCAGGTTCTGACCAGTACTAGAGAACCGGTAGCAGAAATTTTGAGTAGTTCGGAGAACCGGCAAATACCACCTCTGACTGGAGAGTTTACAGTATCCTTTCCCTGCCACGCCTACAGAACCGGTAGTAAAAAAAAATTGAAGCCCACCACTGGTGCTGATGTTATAACTGTTTCCATTTTGTGCCCAGGTGTGAACATTTTCATTCAATTCTGAACAATGGTAATGAGGAAATCATAGAAATAAGTGAATTCTCATATCCTGTTTACCGAGCATTTTTGGAATATCTTTATACGGATAACATCAGTCTCCCTCCTGAAGATGCCATAGGTAATTGGAACAAAAGAGCTTAAATTAATTTTTAAAGCTAAGGTGTTAATGTATATTTTCATGATATTAACATATTACTATTAACTCTTGAATATACTGACTTGTGCAAACTTAGAGCATGAAATGAGTCTGCATATATTTTTCACATCTTGTAGCATTAAAGCATTTTGTTAGTGAAGAAGGAAAATAAACAGACTGGTATAACAAGCTGTGCAATAAGTTATAAGAAAAAGCATTGTATTTTTTAATTCTATATACAACCATCTGACTTTCCCAGTAGGCCAGAATATAGACGCCTGCAGATGTTTGTAATTAGTAATTAAAAGTATTTTGCTTTCAAAATTTAATGTTTATATGAATAATTATGAGAATGGTTTTTAAGAAAGATTTAAGCAGCCTAGTTGTCCTTTTTACATCCTTTGTTTTAATCAATAGTAACAGCATTGTTAGGAGTTCAGTCATCTCTGTTGGCTCTAAAGCTATTTGACTGTGTATAGTTTGGTGAGTACGTAGAATTGAAAGTATTCATTACAGCCTTATCTCTCTTCTGTCTCACTTTGGAAAAAGCAATTGCTTTAGCAGCAAAAAATTCAGGCACGGGTGCTACATTAAAATTAAGCCTTGCTACTGTTACTTTCGTTGAAGATAAGCTGATATTATCCAAGATAATATCAGCTTACCTTTGTATAGGAAAAGCCCATATTTCCCAGTAGAACTATGAAAAAAATTCACCTTCCACAAAAGAAACAGTACAGGAGCAAATAAAATGCAGACTACTTAGCTATTCTTTGTGTAAGTAATTTAGTGAAATTTTATTTTACCAGACATCAATGTAGTAGATTTTAACTGGAGTAGAACAAATTACGGCAGAAATGATGCAAATAGAATTCAGAAATGAATTTACATCATTATGCAAATTATGTAAATCATCACTCTTGGACTCATCAAATTTTCCTCAATAGCAGACATCTTGTCACTCAATTAGTCTGTTAAATTGAGATTTTACCAAAACACAATTGCTAGGCAGATTGCTAGGCACTGAATAAGAAAAGTTAAACTAGAAACAACTCATTCCCATGAAGCTGTCATAGGTGTCAAAAAGGCCAGTTTAACTAATATATTAGTTTTCCTTAAAATCATTTTAACATTTTTGTGGAGAAATATTTTGAAAATATTTCTGCTGGAATCTGTCTTGGGAGTTTTTTGTTGCTGTAAGAATTGTAAGTTAGAAAATGTTATATTTAAAAAAAAATTCTAGAGCACAGAACACAAGATATAATTCTGCATTTCCAGATGGTGGAGTACTACCTCCTATGTTGAACTGTCTTTCCATTTAATTGGGAAATGCTTCCCTTGATAATATATGAATATATGATGTATTTTGTATAATTCTCTGTGCATTTGTACTTATATTCAATGTGTCCATAAACATTTTGTACAGTTGTATATGTTCATATATGTGCAGTCACACTTATCCTTGTGTACATACATTTTGTTGTTTTCCATTGACATATTCATAGATGCCTTGCATATTTGCATACATCTATTTATATTTTACTGTTGTTTTGCACTTCTGGTTGGATGCTAACTGCATTTCGTTGCCTGCATCCATGGCAATGACAATAAAGTTGAATCTAATCTAATCTAATCTAAAATCACTGTTAAGTTGGCAGTGAAAGAAGGCAGAATGAGGAAGAATTTTCTTTCCCATTTCTATTATTTGTGAAGGAAGGAAGAGACCAGATGCCCTCATACATCTGCTGAATTCTTGAAGTAGATTTCAACTTTTCCAGATGCTTAGTACAAAAAAAAAAGACAGAATCTCTCTCTGATTGTGATGGTCTCTAACTCAAAAGGCAAAGGAGCCATTCCAGGGTGGGAAAGGCAGATGGGGTGGGGGGATTTAAAACAGCAGTCTTGTCAGGTTTGAGCCAAAGCTGAAGCTGATTCCTCCCCATCCACATCCACGCAATCTCCAGGCATAAGTAAAGTGCTTTGGGTGGCCCAGGGCAGAAATGTACAACTGAAGGTCTACTGATGAAGAGGTTCCAAGCTTAACCCTGAGCTGACAGATCACTCAGCTCATGTAGACGTTAAATAGAGTGGAAAGAGTCAGGTCCTGTGGCACACCACATCACAGAGGATTGGGGCTACATCTTTTCGTATCCACTAGCACTTGTAATCAGCCCTGGGAGAAGCAAAAGACCCACTGAAGATCAATGCCTTCTGGTCCCAGCCCCTTCAGACAACCCAGAAGGATACCATGATTGCTAATATCAAAAAGCTCTGAGAGGTCATGAAGAATTAGGATTCATGCTCAGAATCTGATGGATCATTTGGATCTTTGGGGAGTTGAACTCCAGCAGTGCTGATTTTGAAATGACTGATGTACAGGCTTCTCCAGATTTCTAGGTAGAGTTCCATCCAATAATTCCTAAGGAAGTGGACAGGATTCTTGGGGTGCCACCTCTGCGTTAAATCTATATCAGCTCTGGCTGGTTAGGATCTTCCCAGGATGTAACATGTAGCTTAGCTTGGTTCAAATGGTAGGAAATGTCATGTCCTAGCCCCATTGGAGCCTAAGAAGGAGGAGGGGTTGGAATTGGGACTGTCTCCCTTGGAATTTTTGCCATGTCGTTCCCCACCCACACCCCCACAAGGAACCTCCTGGTGTGGGTTGACTTAAGGAGAATTCCCTAGTCAGTTATAACATTTGTTGTTGGTCACTTTTGTTAAAATAAAACCAGTTAACAAATATGTCTCCTCCCCCATCATCTAATTAATTACTGCACTTGTATTACTCTGATTTGGGAAAAAATCCCATTATCTGAAGAAAGCTATTTTGCATTTTAGAGGGTTCCGCCCCCCCCCCCCCCCCCGGCACCCCGAGAACTCCTTGAACAAGGTTACCTATCTAATATTCTATCAAGGCTCCAACTGAAAACTTCTACTCCTTCCTCACCCGTTTTTCTTTGCCCATCCGCTTCAGTTTTCTTTGCTACTACTGTTTCTGCCTTTCCTTGTCTGGATAACAGGGATTGCTTTGTTATAGACCCAGAATAGTAATGCAGATTCTTATTTTGTGTTATATTTAAGCCATTAATTATAAACAATTCCAACTCTTGACTCATTCTGTTCCTTTTTGAGCTGAGACTTAAATGGTGCCCCAACTAATCTGTTGTTCAAATCTGTCTAAGCTTGTAAATGTACAATGATCAATTTAGGCAATAATGATTGAACACATACTGATGTAATGTTCTCTTGCTTTGCTGCTTCCCCCCCCCCCCCCCCACACACACACACATTTCTGGATTGTCATCATTTGAGCATTGAACTGCTATCAACAGTCATCATTCAGAGCGCATATTAAATTTAGATACCTATGTTTAAAAACACTGGCTTTTCACATTACTAGCAACATTTTTATTCCAGAGGTATTTTATAGTTATGTGTTACTAAAGGTTCCTTCTAGCCTGTATATAGACTTGATTTCTCTCCCCCCCACCCCTCTTTTGTCAGGCCTGTTAGACTTGGCAAGCTTCTATAGAGACAACCGACTAAAGAAGCTTTGCCAACAAACAATTAAGCAAGGCATTTCTGAAGAGAATGCAATTGCTCTTCTATCAACTGCGGTCAAGTATGAGGCAAAGGTATGGAAAATGTTCTTTACTCAGTTGCTACTGACTGGGGTTTTTTGTTGTGCGTTAAGCTATGAGCTTGAATTTGCCTGTGCAATTAACACATTGGGTAGTGTTAGTCAAGGAAGCCACCCTGTTGGAATACTGCGCTTGGCCTCTCTTATGGGGTCTAGTAAAAATTAGAAGCAGTTTTCGTATGTGAAGCATTTTGAAGAAATGAAACCATTGTGCAAATGCTAAGAATTTTCTGTTAAAAATCACAATTTTTGTAGTTTTCAAGATATCAGGCCAATTTCACAACTTATTGGGAAGGATATATTTGGCTGCATGAAACATCTAGAGAACTCTATAAAAGAGGTGAATAAAGGAAATATTCTGAACTCAGTGAAACTAGCTTCAATCACCTAGGTCAGTGATGGCTAACCCTTTTGCTGTTGTGTGCAGTGCACCCATAATGCAATGCATGCGCAACTCCCTGCGCTCCCCCTCCCCTTGAACATGCGTGAGTTTCCCACATGTGCCCCACCTTCTGCACATGCGCAGCAGATACCCTAAAATTAGCTGGCTGGTGGGAGGCGTGCGCGCATGCGCATTGGAACTGAACTGGGGCAACAGCTCATGTGCCTGCAGAGATGGGTCTGCATGCCACTTCCAGCATGCGTGCCATAGGTTCACCATCACGGACCTAGGTCATAGGTGTCTCAAAGGTGTTTTTCCAAAAGGCAACTAGACTTTCTTGGGTTTTTCCCTTGAAAATGTTTTGCTTCTCATCCAAGAATTTTTTTTTCAGTCCTGACAGTCAATTGCTATTTGTTTTAGATCTCTGGATTTAGTTAGTGTGACCCAACTACATTTAAGGAAGATGTGGAAAAATGTAGTGCGGAGGACCCAAGACAAAGAGGTGTAAATTAGAGCTTCATATTTATAGGTTTGTAGAAATAGTTTTGAGGAGTTATTTATATGAACGTTACTCTCACTCCATTTAATTTTCTTCCCCCTCAGAGGAAAATGTTCACGAATGGGAAATTGGCACTTGTTAGCTATGAAATGCAACAGTATGATTTTTAATTAATGGAATGGTTGTTTCTGTTCCCAGATTTCTTTTCCCATTTTAGGGTTGTCATTTTTTTTCAGCCCTGGTCTGCCACCTATGATTATGTGGAACAATATCACACATTAGTTGTGTATTTTAATATATGTAAACACTCCATTTCTAGGAGCTAGAGGAATTTTGCTTCCGGTTTTGCATCAACCACCTGACTGTCGTTACTCAGTCTCCAGGTTTTGCAGAAATGGACCATGACCTCATGAAGAACTTCATAAGCAAAGCCAGCCGAGTCGGAGCATTTAAAAACTGAAGTAAAACCCTTGCCTAATGAAGATCGTTTCATTACCATTACTTGTATTTCTGATGTCATGATAATTTCCTCATAAACCTAATTTAAAAAGAGCATTATGCATTCTGTCTCCCTACTGTGACAACTGATCTTAGAAATTAAGGAAATGCCAAAATAATAGCTTTCACTAAAAGCTAAGTAATTAAATTTTGATACAGCTAAACTACTTTAAATATCTTTGAATAATCTTCCATGCTTCAGGGGTAAAAAAAATCTTTCATGCTTCATATCTGCAGACAGTAGCTACAGTATCTTGCAAGTTTCCCAATATGAAAGCAACAGTTTTTCTTACCAACAGCTGAAGTTGCTAGCCTATGAATAGGAATATTAGCTTTGGAAAATTAAAAGGCAGGCCACAAATATTTAAAAATATTAGAAATTTCTCATCCCAGCCAAGCCAACCTTGCAAAAGAGAAAGTGTCCATTTAGTTTACTGGAATGCTTAGAAGGATAACTAGGTAATAATTAGGCTGGTTCATACAGTTGCCTTCCTTGAAAAATAGGATGGTAAAAGAACAGTTTCAACCTTCAGGTATTTGAGATGCATTATGGATGTTTGAATAAAGAACTAGATTGAACTCACCAATCAATATTTTTATAACAATTTGGCAGGTGTTAGGTCATTGTTGGAGGCTTTTCTAGTTTTTAATTGATTGATTAGTTTAACAATTTCCAAACTGGGACTGATGGCCAGGAGGAACACTTTCTGAAAGTTTGGTTGTTTTCTATTTCATGTTTACTAAATTATAGCTAGCAAGCCAATAAACTAAATTATATTAGCAACTTCGGGATAAAAGATATTAAATATAATTTTCATTGTATATTATTAACAATTCTCATTCTTATTTTTAAAATTATTTTATTAATCTGTAATGTTTATTAGAATACAGAATATTTCTATGCTCAATTTGTCAAAATACATAGTTATGATAGCTTAGGTTAGCCAACTCTTAATAGTTACTGTTAATAAAATTTCAGAACTTAATTTTCATAGTCTATATTGAGTTTGCAATCTGACTACTGATTATTACAAAACTAACAGACTAAAGTGATAGCTACAGAATTACACTACTCTGATCATGAGACAGATAAGAATGTGCAGTGTGTTTTGTTGCACAGTCATTGTGGTTTGTTGAAATAAAATAATAAAATTCAACCAGGCTGCCAAATTTTCTAATTTGCGTATAAGTTTTAAGATGGAAAAAAAAAGATATTGCTAGCAAGGTATATGATTTAATAGAGGTATCTAATGTATTGGAACACCATATTTAAGTGCACTGTCCAGGGGAGTCGGGGCCATCCAGAACTCACGACTATACCTCACAATCCAATCATATAAATTATTCTAGAACTCTAGAATAATTCTAGAATAGAGTTCTAGAATAATTTATTCTAGTGTAGGGTGTTCTTTGGAGGGGGACCTAAAACATAAATAGTGCATCAAGTCTGACATTAAATGACAATTCTTAATAAAATACCAGTGCATTTTGTATATTGAACATGAATATCTAAAACAAAGTAGTTCAATAAAAACTGAAAAGGTAATATAATTGAACTACAATGCACTGGGAAATCAATTTTACTAAAAACTAATATGTATAAATTAACACTTAAGTGAATAGTACATATGCTATGTCATAGCATAAAACACTGAAACACATGAAATTCAACTAAATTAAATTAGCTAAGCAGTATATGCAAAACAACATAGTAGAAATCAAAGCTACAGTGCAGATCCTGGGTCTCAAGAGCAGTTCACTTCTGTACAGTGTCTGAAACTTCAGCACCATCATTCAGTTTCTGGTTTTGTATTCTAGTCCGAGTTGATGCTAGAGAAACAAAAAACAGTCTTTTTAAATATGTTAGTATAAACTGTGATAAGTAAGGCGCTTGCTAAAATAAAGCCGAAGACATGCAAGCAGGTAATCTCAGATCTGTAAATTAAAAACAATCCTCATGAAATGCAGGCACCTAGATTTTCATTACATCTTGGGGATTTTGATATTGTTCTTTCAGCAGATTACAATAATGTAAAATTAAAGAAAATGCAAAATAACATTTGAAACTATTTCAAAAATATGAAATCTCATTATAAGTATTACTGGTGGACTTCAATGTAGCAGTTAGAGATTCATAAAATTGTTCATGCATGATCTGAAAAATGGCCAAGATATGGAGTGAAATGGAGTTCTTCTCGTTTGGACACAGACCAAAATGGAGATTATTTTGGGGTGGGAAAAACCAAGGTTGAGGGATTTCCTGGGGAAGAGGAAAAGTAAAAGCGCTGGGAAGCTAAAGAGCAGGCCAGTTGATCCTGAAGGTTGATTAAAATCCAAATGGTACTTTAGATCAGGGGTCCCCAACCACCGGTCCACGAACCGGTACCGGTCCGTGGAACAAGTCCTACCGGGCCGCTGGCTTGCTGGGCGCCACCATCTTGTTTTGATGAAAAAGTGCTTCCGGTGAGCTTTTCCGGGTAGAAAGCTCACCGGAAGCACTTTTTCATCAAAACAAGATGGCGGCGCCCAGCTGATGTCGGTACCGGGCCACGCCATAAAAAAGGTTGGGGATACCGGGCCGCGGCGTAAAAAAGGTTGGGGATCACTGCTTTAGATGCATGGAGATTCCTTTTATATGAGGTATTTAAATAGTGACTAGCTCACCTTGTTGGATTATAGCATGTTGCTTTATGTGCTTGGGAACCACTACCCTCAAAGGCCAGTAAATACATGGCACCAGTGAGGAACTTGCCCATTGTTGTATAAGACCACCTGAATTGTCCCCAGTAGTAATTTATAATTATTCTCATGCTGTACAAAAACTTACTCATTTCTGCAAGCTTTTGTTGGAATTTTGACTCTCCAGAAAGACGTTCCCTGTAGATAAGGGGAGATAAATTCTACATTTTATTCAGTTCTGATTTCAAAGTGTGCTGCATATAAGCTGTGACTCCAGACCAGGGGCAGGCAATTAATTTCATCCAGGGGTTACATGAGAAGGTAGAATTGTTGTGAAGGGCTGCTGCCCCACTCCCTACCACCATGTCCCTGCACCACCACCACTGCCCCATCACCACCATGGATCAGACTGGGACCATCTGCAAACCGGATGTGCTTGGGCGCCATAAAACGCCCAGATCTGTTCTAGGCAGCTCTTGTCAGCAACTAGCCATTCACACCTATAGTAATCAAACTGAATAATTCACTTTCAGATACATATCTGCCACATGTAGGAATTTTGAATAAATCAAGGTTACCTTGTTCTTCTGCTTGAGGAACATGCTTTCCCCATGTCCTTTGAAAAGTAAAACTATACTTTCATTTTTATATAATCCCGACTTTCAAAGTTAAAATTCAAATTTCATTTTTTCCAAAAATAATAAATTACATAGAATTTACAATTTCAACACAACAGCCCTATTTCAGATATTCTCTGCCATCATTAATTGGTATAACTGAAGTAGACCTAACACTATGTATAAGTTACTATTATTATTATTACTAAGTTGCTTAAGAGAGCAACATCTTTGAAATTGGGAACCTGCAAACTAATATGTTAATAAACTACCAATAAATGGTACACGTATGTGAAGAAAACAATTCAAGAACCAGTCCAATTGAGCTAGAAAGTTCCCTGTGTTGAGGGCAAGAAAACTACCAAAGCTCAGCAGGCAGAACCACCAAGGAGGGCAGGGGAAGCTCTTAAAGAAAGATATCAGTTAAACAGTGTTCAAATTACATTTTTAGCTTCTTTCTGCATACTGCTTTTACTAAAATTTGAAAAAAAATCACAAAGAAACAATTTATGGACCAGGTAGAAAAAAAAGGGGGGGTGCCCACTGAACTGGACAGCAAATCATCTATAATAGGCATATCCAGGCCATGGGCTGCATACAGCCCTTGGCAGGTAGTAATGTGGCCAAGTTTTTATAAAAAATATTTAAAAATAAAGGAAATCTGATATTTATATACATATCAAATAAAACAAAGGTAACAATAGTAATAAGCCTCTTGGTGCAATCCAAACTAGAGCACCACCTGAACACCAACGGTATTGACAAACTCACATCAGTCAATCACAAAAGGCAGCTTTTCTCAAAACAGCTTACTTCTTGCAATACCTCTAACGCTATGGATCATCAACATCTTCCTATCCCAGGTTGCTGGGAAAGACTCGATAGGTAGCTAAAATGCCAAATCCAGTCTGAACATTCGGCTGACTCTGCAATGAACCGTTTTATATGCGGCCCAGGACAATTCCTCTTCACTCAATGCAGCACAGGCAAGCCAAATGTTGGACATACCTGATCTATAGCAACATTATGCTAATGGCATAAATTACATCATTTGTACCCATCTGATAATCAATATGCAAATAGAATAAATGATGCAAATAACACAGAGAAATTTGTCCACTGCATCCTGAGATTTTGCTTATAAATATATAACAAACATCCTATCCAATGTACATTTTCTACATCATGTCAACCTAAAGGAGTCAACCCAGTTAAAATCAATCCTGGGGATGTCCCATTGCTTAGTACAAAGATGCATGGGACATGCCAGGACTAATAGCATTAACTAATAAAATAATCCACTTATAAAATCAATTGATCCCTCCATCTACATATCCCAACCATTGTCTTACACATAAATCACTGTAATACAATTAAATGCAGACACATGAATCAAAAACTAAAATTGGTTATATTGAGTTCACATATAAATTTAATGAAAATTAAACTATTCTGATAACTTGGTAATCATGTCTCTTTTTTCCACTATAATCTCATTAAAAATTGCAGTTATACATTTCTGCCGTAAACTAGATAGCAGAGATGGGTTTCCACAAACTAAGCCAAAACTCTATGTGAATGAACCCAGATGGGATCACTAATATAGACCTGCATTATTTTATTCAGAAATCAGCTCACCTTCCGTCAGCTTCATCCTGACCTTCTATATCAAAACGCAATCTCTTCAGAGGCTTAGGAGTGGTGTTTAGTTCAGGGCTCCGTTTGAGATGACGATCACTGTTACATACCATCTTGTTTATCTTTTGAAACTTTTCAGAACTCTAGAATACCAGAAAGATAATTAAGAAGATAATTTATTTTTACATATGGTTGGATAAGTATTAAGTGGAATTCCTTTAAGAGAAAATATGAAGGGGGCCCTTAAAACAAGCTGACAGCATATTCCAAGCCTCTATGCGTGCTTTTGTTCAGAATACTGAGCAACCAAAAGTAACAGCTTTATAATTTTTTGAGTTTTCCTGGCAGAAAGAACGAATCCATTTTGATTTATCAGTGGAACAACTTGCCTCCAGAAGTTGTCTGAAATGGTATAGCGTTTCCTGTTTGAGCAGGGGATTGGCTAGAAGATCTCCATGGTTCCTTCCGCTTCTGATATTCCATTAAGAAGGAGAAGCTGTCTGTCTCCTGGCCCAAACAGATTTTGCTTTGCTTTGTTGTGTAACACTGGAAAGCTGAAGTTTGGCATTGATTTCCTCCAAAGAGGGTTCTTTCTGGCTGTATCTTAAAAGCAGGTTGGGAACCTCTGGGCTTAAAGAAATGGCCACTTTTATTTCTTTTATGCATAGTCTTTTTCTGTTTGGATCAAGGAGCAGATAACAAGAAAATGTTATCTCTGAAGAAAGATCCAGAACTTTAAAGACTAGTCAGTCTGCTACTGAAACCAGGGAAGATTCTAGGATGGAGTATAATGTGATCTCTAAGCATCCCCAAAACAATTGAGTAATTAAAAGAAATTAGGACTGAGCTTTTAAGACTGTACAAATTAATGGTGTGTCCTGTTTTGAACAGATAATTCTGTCAAGAGATTTGGAGAATGATGTAGATCTTGATTTCAATAAAAAGATTTGACAAAGTACCCCATTCCATTCTGATTACCACACTTGTTCAATGTTCACAATTAAATGGAAACCTAAAACCTTGATAATTTCTGAGTCATAATTCAAAGAATTTTATCAATGGACATCCTTATGAAACATCTGGAATCAACAGTACTCCCACAAATGCAACTCCAAAGTAGATCTGATATGTAGATGACACCTTCACCGTAATGAAAAAGGGTCAATTAGAGAACACCCCAAAACCATCAACATCTTCAAAGGAATACAATTCACCAGGGAAAAAGAAAACAGCAACTCACAATACATCCTAGATATCCTGATTAACAGAGATTATGATGGCAAACTAGAAATACAGGTTTCTGGAAAAATCAATCAAGTGTTCCCTACTTCCCACAGGAGAAGCTGTGTAAAAACTCTATTCAGACAAGCATAAAACACAGCAGCAACCCTGAACAGCAGAAAAAGGAAACAGATCATCTACGCAACTTCCAACAAAATTGATATCCACACTACTTCATCAAAAGGTGCCTCACCACTCATAGAGCACAAATAAGACATAAAAAGATTAACACAGCCACACATCAAAAGCATCTCAGAAACCGTTGACAGACTATTACAAGCATGTGGAATCAGCATAGCACACAACTAAAGCCCTCCAAAACATCCTAAGTAAACCAAATACCCATCAACCATAAATAGACATAAACAACATCTACATCTAATGCAAAAAAGACAATCAACAAGCTAAAAGGGGAACAAAAAGACCAAAGCACCACCACCCCCAACAGCAATGAACACTCAGATGAGCATAGATTAACACTAAGATGAACATCAGACCAACAATCAAGCAGTAAACAATACTCCAATCCAGGAATTGCCAAGCAAGCTAATAGTAAACAGCCCAACCAAAGAACCTCCAAAACACTGAGAGGGCATGCCACAAGAATATAAATTGAGAGCAAACCCCATTCATCACTAATATTGATGATGTTACCTAGTTTGGGTAACGAAAGAAAGTAACCAAGCTCAGAGAACATCAAGAATCCTTCAATCCTGAACTATAAATATTCTCTTTTATTGATATGCACTTTGATGCCCACAAAATATTTTGGCTCCAATTCCTATAGAAGTGAACTGACATTGCTAATGTGGGACATTGTCATCCTTCTGAAGTAAGCAAGATGCAGACAGAAAAGCAGTAGGGATTCCAGGAACGCCCTTTACTGTTTCAGACTAGGATAACCACAACTTGGAAAGCCTATCAAGAGGTTCTCTTTGCCTCATCTCATATTAAAATAAAACTGAGACAGTGTTATCTTCAGTTTCTTTCTCACCCACTCTACTTTCTCGGGACATTTTCCATTTTTCCTTCCCCAAAGCCAGATCTGCAATTTTTTGCACAACCATTGATTACCTATGGTTCCGTCTGAAACCTTTTCCTACTAATGAATGTCTGTTCCTTACTAACAGGTGGGGATAAAACATCTGGTAATTTTGGAATAGAAAAATAGGCAAGAGGAAACCTAGTGTCATGGCCCCATCAGAGCCTGGTTTGGAGGAGAAGCTGGGATCGGGACCGTCCGATGGGGATGGCATGCCTCTCTTGGTATGTTTGGAGAGGCCAGGGGCTGAGCATGATGCTGCTCCAGGCCCCCCAGGCATTGGGGTAGGTGGTCAACCAGATGGAGAGCTACTTGCACTCCTAGACAAAGGGGAGGAACAGCTGCTGATAGGCAGCAGATCCCCTCTGATGAGGAACAGCTGCCTCCCCACTCAATCCAAGGGAACAGAGAGCATAGCATAGGCAAGCTCAAAGAAGGGCTGCAAGGCTCCTCAGGAGAAGGTCGGTCCACCCCTCCTCACAAGGAATACTGGAGTGGATTGATTTAAGGAGAAGCCATGGGGATTTAGTCTTTGCCAACAACAATTGTTTTGTTTTGGCTTACATTCCCCGGCCTTGACTGGTGCCTTTTGCCTTGTGCCTTGCCTTTGCCCTGAGGACTGTCTTTTGTCTCAAGACTTCATTTTGCCTTGTGGACTTGTTTAGCTGGATGGACTAGGCTTGGGACCCTGGAACTCACCCTGTGAGTGTGTTCCTATTCTGTGGACTTTCTTTGTTATATACAGACGGTGGTTTGGGGGACTGAGTGTGGTTGCCTTCAGGGTAGTTTGGGGTGGAGCCTTACAGGGTTGTTAGAGGGCTGTTTTTTGGAATATTTACTTATGGCAATAAAGGACTCTCTAGAGGCCTGCTTTGCCTTCACCATCTGGGTCATAACACCTTGCACCTTGTTTTTTCTTCCAGTGTCAACTATGACTTTCAATTACTTTTCATCAAAAAAAATATCAGGAGAAATATAAAACCTCGGTTGTATCTAGAACAAATTATTTAATTTAAATAATTGTTCAAAATAGGAAACTTACCCCAAAGGATTCACCAATTGAAACCAATATTCTGTAGGACAAGGTAAATAAAAAAAAATTAATCTTTTTTTTCTAGAAATGGCATTTGAGACTACACACAACATAGACATAAAAGCTATATTAATATAAAGCAATGTATACAATATTGTCCAGTTGTATTACTACCCGTGTTTCCCCGAAAATAAGACCACATCTTATTTTCTTTGGAGCCCCAAAATAAGCATTCTGGCTTATTTTCCCGGGTGGGGTGGGGGTGTCTCATTTTTTTTCCATGTATGGGAGGCCCACTTCTTCTGCTTGCAGGAGGCCACAGGATGTCCCAGTGCCCCTGCCGTGAGGTGGTGGGATGGAGCCGCCCCACACTGGCTTACTTTAGGCCATCCATGCCAACACCTGCCTCACCTCAAGGCTGTGGCACCAGCGTGCCACTCAGCCTCCTCTGTTGCAACCATGAGCAAGTAGAAGTGGGCTGGCGGCCATGTGGGCTCCTGCATATTGCTGCTGGTGCTGCCACCACGAGGCAAGTGTCGGGGCCTGGGCGGCCTGGCTGCAAGCGCCCTGATTCAGCCAATGAGGGGTATGTGGGGCAACTCCACCCCCCCTCGCAGCTACAGCACCACAAGCAACCAGACGGAATGGCTGTGCGGCAGGCTGCACAGGCTCTTTAGTAGGGCTTATTTGGGGGCTAGGGCTTACATTAGGCGCAAGCGGAAAAACATACTAGGGCTTATTTTGGGATAGGGCTAATTTTGGGGAAAACAGGGTATACAGATAATATCTATTTTACTAATTCCCAATGCCACAACGGGACCCACTTTCTGAAGACAGAAAAGGCAAAAAGAAATATTCTAAAAAGGAGTTGCACTCATTAAATTTTAATTATGCCAAAATCAAAAGTTCATCCAGAAATTATTCAAACATACAGATACTTTCCCTGGATAAATTAATCTGGATTTGATGTTTGCCTCCATTTTTGGAGATTCATAATGAATAATACCTTAAAGTATTTTTCAGCTTGAGATGGAATAGATGCCTTCTCTGACAATATATCTGAAACAGTAATTCTAAAGACCCAAATCATATTTATGAGGCATATCCTTTAAAAATAATTCTACCTGAAATGTTTTTCTTCCCAATAATAATCAGAAAAACACATGAAAGTTCTGTGAAACAGTCTTCTTATTCACGGTTTTCCACTCGTGTAATTTCTAGGAAAATATTCAAGCCTCCACTAGAAGGATACTTTGGGAAGGTAAGGGTCCATAAATTTAAAGGTCCTTTAAAAAAAGCTTCCCTGGTCAGTCAGTGAGCTTATCTGCCAGAATGCCCTAAAACCTGCCCAGAAGCAGCCAGCTTAAACTGGGTGGGAAGTGCCTGCTCATTTACACAACTTTTGTTTTTATGTGGACCTGCAGAAAGGGGAAGGGCAGATTCCCTTTCAAACGACAGCTCCATCTTCTTTGCTCCATCTGGTGCCCTAAAGTTTCTCTAGCCCTTGTGCTGACTACTGTCATATTAGCATTAGGACAATGCAGTTCTGTTTTTAGTTTCTTTGGGACAGACTCTCTTTCAGCCCAGTGTTAATGTGTTTCTGTGAGCAAACTTTTTACTGCTCTCAGATTTTGATTATTTTAGCATCTTTCCAGAAAATCTATATTTTACAATAAAATATGGGTAAAAAAAAAACAGCATCAAAACAAAGGGTTGTTAATTTATGGAAACTGGATCCCCACCTGACCAAGAAAAAGACACTGCTGCTCACATCAGCAATTGAGGCCAGTTGTGTGAATATCAAAGCGGCAAAATCGCAATTACTAGCAAGCAGCAGGAATGGCGGTAAGCAGGCCAAGGGGAGAACAGAGAAAGGAGGATAGAACTGATCACTCCTCCCAATTAGCTATTTGAATCTATGGTTCCCTTGACCTCATCACAAGTCCCACATAAACAGCTCAAGATGAAAGTCCACATGAGGCTCTATTAGCACACTAACAAATACATTAAAGTCTAGGAAACTATGAATGCCATTCACATTACATCCAGAATGTCTATATAGAATATATAATCTTTGACAGCAAGGTGTTTTTTTTGAGGGTGTGAAGATTGTACAAACAACTTTTTATGTCTAATTAAATAGATATTCCCTATAATGGAAGAATAGCAGTAGGTGATCACTTCTATTAAAACTGAAAAATATCTATCCAGCTTAGGTTGCTGTTTGATTTAGTTGCTTAAAGGAACAATTTACTAACCTTGTTCTGGGTGTCATTTTTGTGGGTGACAATAGCCCTTCAGAAAATTTGCTGGGATTCTTCAAAGGTGAGACATAGATGTTATTTCCAGCAGAAACACGTAAAGGAGATTTAGAAAACTTATAAGGGCTCTGTAGAATGTCAGGAATAGGTGTTAATATTGGAGGCTGGAAGATGAAATTTTAAATTAGTGCTATGAGGATTTGTCAATTGTTATTGAGAAATATTCATTAGAGGATAGATGCATAATTACTTACCTTATTGGAAGCATATTGCAAAATATTGGTTTTCAGTCTTTGCATAAATACCATGTTGTAGAAGACTATAATGGAATCATAATGTCCTTCCGTGATCAAAACACACTTGAATGTCTAGATGGAATTAGAAAGTTAAGCATCAGCCCTCTATAATAACAACTTCTTCCAGTAGCTATATCTGTTTGTGACATCTCTGTTATATTTAATTTGTACAGGATTTTCCTTCTTTAGAAAATTCTTATCCTCACCCTCCCTTCCCCATCTTCTCAACAATGTTAGCTTCCTTAATCTGAAGATGATTTATTCAGAAAATGTTTGTTCCTGAATGAATTAAAAATATAATGAATAATTACTGTTCAGTGTATTTCACCTTTTTTGAGTCATCCTTTTGAAATGATGTGGTATACTGAATAAAATGTGAGGGAAGTATTTTTACCTGACATCTCATGCTTGGATATAGTGATATACTAATTAATGTTGACGTTTTGCTTAGTTTTTGACCACATATTCATTTGGAATTTTGAGAAGATGTAGTGGCATTCTTGAAAAATGGCTAATCTGGGGACTTCCGGTTTGCAGGGCTTCGGCGGCAGGCAGGAATCCGCGATCGTGCGCAGTTTCTGCCTGGGCTCGCCGCTGGAGCGTCCCGAGCCAGTTGGCTTTGGGGCTAAGCCACCCTGTAGAGGTGGTAAAGAGGGGGGAGATCCCAGCAGGGTCGAGGAAAGCCGCATCTTTCCTCCCCAGCTGGTTAAACTCCCTTTCCCGAAGGCGGTAAGAGCGGCGGTCAGAAATGGCCGCCTCAAAGAAGCACTCAGCCGGAAAAGAAAGTGCAGGAGGAAGTTAAGAAGTGAAAGTTTTGGCTAACCGGGATAAGAAGCAACAACTAAGGTATCCTGGAATTTAAATTTAAAAAAAAGATACATTGCTCCCAAGGAAGATTCGGAAGCAGCGAATGAAAGTGAAAGGGGAAAGTTTTTTTTTTCACTCTCCTTCCTAACGTTGACAGCGAACAGAGATGAATGAGAAATCGGAAAACCCGCTTTGGCATCAATAGGTAATTAAACTGAATAATTAAATGTCAAGGGGATAATAAGGATTTCTGAACACTAAAAAAAAACCTTTTTCTTTTTGCTGTAAGTGGGAAGGGAGAGGAAAAGAATAAGAGCAGGATTTGGAAGGAAGAGACTGCCTGGAATTTAAAAGAATCTGATTAAATCCTAACAAGACTTCTAAAAGATACATTTTAACTGGAACTTTGTAACTAAACAGTAACCCCAGGAAGAGAAAGTGAAAAAAGAAGAAAGTGTCAAAAGAAACAGCTTGTGTGTATTTGGATTGCTTGGTGACTTTGGGACTTTTGGAAATTATATTTGAATGACTAAAAACACTTGGGTGGTTGTTTGAAAAAAATTTTTTTACAATGGCATCACTTGTGGATGAACTGAAAATGGAATTTAAAAAATACAAAGAAGAGGAACAAGAAAGGAAGGGCTCTCTTGGCTCTGTTTTTCAATTCTTAGAAATGGCGATCTGTACCTACGAGAAACCACAAGAAAAGACTGCGCAACAAGAAAATTGGGACAAAGAAGAAGCCATCTTTAACGAACAAGTAACTTTACTTGGGGAAGAAAGGGGAAAGGAGGGAAAGAAAATGGAGATTTTAAGACCTAAACAAACAACCAAAAAAGGGAAAAATAAGGTGAAAAGTGGATATAATGTTAGAAAGCAACAGAAAAGGGGAACACAGAAGAAGGAAATGGAGGTGGAGAGACAAGGGGGTAAAAAGGGCAGAGAGAAGAAGGAAGGAAGGAAGGGAGGAAGGAAGGAAGGGAAGAGAAACTACAAAGGTGTGGAGCAAGATTTAAAGAAACAGGACTTATTTAGAGATAATGGGTAAAAACTTAACTGAAAAAGTGATTCTGCAAAGGTACATAAGATTGTATTGTTATATTTGTATTAGAAATAATGTTAGAAAATTGGAAACAACATATGATTAAAGTGGGATAAAATACTCAGTGTAATTCAGTGAAAATTTTGTGAACAAAATAAATAAAATGAAATAAATGAGAGAATTGAATTAGGAAGGAATGGGAACAGTTTAATGACACAATGTTTTAAAATATAAGTGAAGTGGGGGGGAAATAACTATGGAAAGTTTATAAGTGTTCCCATAGAAGTATGATACTTGTTTGAAAAGTAATGTGTAAAATGTTTAAGATTTAAATGAATATTATTGGTATGGATTGTTGTTTTAATTATATTATATATTTATAATTTTTCTCTTTTTAAAATATAGTTTGTAACTTTAGAATGTACTAAGCAGAATCCGAATGGAAGCTATGTATTATACTAAGTGTTATAAATTTAGGGGAAAGAGATAAAGGCATCATACTCCAATCAGTGATTACAGGAGAAATTTTGTTTAATGAGAAAAGCTGGAAACAGGACAGACAAAGAATATAAGTATAATGATCTGAACTGAGATGAAATATATAAAATAAAATTAAGAAAGTTAAAAGAGGGGAGAAGCTATATAGAAAATGTAAAATGGTAATAAGATATGGAATGGTATATAAAATGAGCATGAATTTGAATTTGTGTCTGTATGAAGAGATGTAACCCCCGCGGGATCAAGCTGCTTTCAAAAAAGATGTTTTATGTTTTTATGTTTTATGTTTTATGTTTTATTTATGTTTGTTTTTAAAAATCAATAAAATTTATATATATATAAAAAAGAAAAATGGCTAATCTGGCTAATATTTCTGATTGCTAAGCAGAAAGGTAAGTTGATAAAATTGTTTCCTGCCACAACTGCTACAAGATGTCACAGTTAATGTCCATAAATCAGTGGTGTCTAGAAGCTTCTGGCTGCTTATTATTGTTGCAAAGGTACTCAAGACAAAATAAGAGTTTTAATACAAATAATGCTAAAAAGTGTCCCATACCTCTTGATTTGCATTGTTGAGTTCCTTGTATGCTGTCACAATAGTTTTAAACCTGAGATCAATATTCTTCACCTTACATATGCCATACATGGAACACATCATAATCTGTTTAAAAGCAGAGAGGAGCCATCACAACTCGTCATTAAAGAAAATTCAGCTCAGGCCTTTCAGGAATGGAAAAAGCTTTGAGATCTTAGCTATTGGAACACTAATTTTAAAAATATGTAAAGTTTATTTAAACAATTGAAATAACAAACATAACAAGATAATAAAGTTATTAGAAATATAAAACCATGTAATATTAAATAGCATTTTAACAACAAAACAAAATCCTTTAAATATTGTATTCCAAAAAATTGGGGCACCAGCCTGAGAAAGGTTCATGCAGACATTTAACATGCGAAATAGATACGGAACACCAATTACCGTATTTGCCGGCGTATAAGACGACTTTTTTCCCCTGAAAAACATGCCTCCAAGTGGGGGGGTCGTCTTATACGCCGGGTCGTCTTATACGCCGGCAAATAGTAATTGGGAAGCACTGCGGCTGCCTGCGGCCGAGGCACTTTTGCGCACCGTGGAAACGAATCCCGTGAAGCCGAAAGGAGCAGCCAGCCTTCAGGCCGATGTAGGCGGGCCTCCTTCTCCCAGCTCCCCAGGAAACGAGGCGCTCAGCGGCCTCCGCTCGCACCGCCCGGGCTCCGCTCACACCGCCCGGGCTCCGCTCGGACCGTCCGGCCTCCACTCGCACCGCCCGACCTCCGCTCAGGTATCCGGCTGGGGCTGTCAGGAGTTGTTACCACTGGCGCGGCTCCGTGCGGCTCCAGTCCCGCGTTGCCTCGGGAAGGGAAAGGCAAAACCAGGAGCCGCTGCTGCCGTTGCAAAGCGCCGCCGCGGCTCTTCCTTTTTGCCTTTCCCTTCCCGAGGCAACGCGGGACTGGAGCCGCACCAGCGGTAACAACTCCTGACAGCCCCAGCCGGATACCTGAGCGGAGCCCGGGCAGTGCGAGCGGAGCCCGGGCGGTGCGAGCGGAGGCCGCTGAGCGCGTTTCCTTGGGAGCTGGGAGAAGGAGGCCCGCCTACATCAGCCTGAAGGCTAGCTACTCCTTTCGGCTTCACGGGATTCGTTTCCACAGTGCACAAAAGTGCCTCCAAAAAAAAAAAAGTGCAAAAGTGGAAGGTGTGCGGAAGAGGGGGTAGTCTTATACGGCGAGTATATAACAAACTCTATATTTTGAGTGGAAATGTTGGGGGGTCGTCTTATACGCCCAGTCGTCTTATACGCCGGCAAATACGGTATATGCCAAACTTGGGAATGATATTGAATACTTCCTAAATTTATCACTCTAAATAGGGACACTAGCTTTCAATGATAAATAATCCTGAAGGAATATAATGGACTGATACTCTCTCTAATCTTGTCTTACCATTTGTGTGTTACTACTTGTTTCTCACATACTTTGGCAATGTCATGTGGGGGAATTCACTGAAGAAAGCAATTATGTTTGGAAGAGTTAGCGGTAAAAGGAAACCTGGCTGTCAAAGATTACAGTGGCTGGACACCATCAAAGCTGTCAGCAGCCAGAGCATAGAAAAGCTCAACGTAGTCCAAGCTTGAAAGATGTGAGAGGCCTGGATCACAGAACTGCCAAGAGTTGGACATGACTGAATGAATAACATTACCATTTTGTTTTTGCTTGCCTATCATCAAGTTTCTGTTAGGCTTAAGGCAATGTAATGTAAAATTACCATTGTTTTAAGCATGGAAAAATCTAAATTAAAAAAAGGTAAAATAGTAAATAAGCCCATCCGGTCAGATATATTACCTGGTCTAAATGTCTGTCTTTCATCAGTTCATACTCATTTTGCAGTGTGTGATGAAAAAGGGTCCATATCAAATGTTCAAGTTCAGGATGGTCAGGCAGAAGACGCGAACATAAACTTTTTAATCGTATATAAGCCAAGCAATCCACTGGAGGAGAGATTTGTTTATAGATTACAAACAAGGTCAAATCAGTATTTATATATATGTTTATGCTTATAGAGACACAGGGAGATAATGTAATATAATGTACAGAAGATATTTAAGAGTTTACTCCAGGAATGTAACAAGGTGTATGTGTTATTTTAATCACAACAAAAATTATATTAGCCTGTACAAAGTCAGCATATTTATTGAGAGGCAATCACTTTTGAGAACGGTATAGAAGCTCTTCTTTTCTAATAACGCTGGTGTGATTTCAGCAGAAGTGTTTTCAGTCATCTGAAATCATTGCTTGAATTTGTAGAAACATCTTGGGAAATACTAATATATAATAATGTCATTTTTAATTTGGTAAAATTCTACATTTAAGAAAATTCTGTGACTCATATGTCATGGGCAAGTAATTACACAAGATATCAAGAAAGGCATTAAAATATTTAAGAAATATTGATAATTTACATAACGCTGCAATTAAAAATATACTTCAGGACTACTTTTAAATTGTACAAAAGTTAGTGGTGGTGGTGGGCAATGGATTAACTTAGAATCGTAGCATGCCTTAAATATCTGTTCCGTCTCCAGTCCTCCCTTCCAGCCAGGAGACTTCCCTGCGCACTTGGTGCATTTGCCCCCTCACCTGCCCCCTTCATGATTTACACTAGACCAGGGCTGTACACCCCGGCAACTTCCTAGAATTCTGAGAGTTGAGGTCCACTAGTCTTGAAGTTGCCAATGTTAGACACCCCAATCGAGATTCGACTACAGAGATAATGTTGAAAATAGCTTTTGAAATCCACCTACCTTTTTTATAGAAATATGACAAAGAACTAGATTTATAAGGTCTCTGACAGAGGTACCTAAAAAAAAAAAAAGGATACAGGCACAGATAATTAAAAAGGGCAATTAGGGTAATGATATTCAAGACCACAAGCCTAATTTTCATAATGACTGAGTAGAACGTGGGCTCCCTCTTTCTCCATTAATTGCTTTCCAATCCAGCTCTCAATGACTGTTACTAATAAGACACAGCTCACATAGCTCGAAAAATTGCAGTGTGAGAAAACATCACACTGGATCTATTTCCTGCTGTACCTTGTCTGTTTACTGTCTTAACCTACTTACGTTTTAATTCAAATGTTTTGAACTTGCATTTGGCTGTAAACATCCTTAGATGCCATTATGTCTCAAAGACAGTAATATATAGAATAAAATAGCACGAAGTAGTACTGTTCAAACAGATAAAAGGGATGTTCAAGGATGGTGCAAAGTGCAAGATACGGAATCATGGATTTAAACTGCAGGCTATCTGCATCTATAGGGGGAAGCAGACCAACAAAAACAGCCTGGCGTCATCAAAAAGCCTGCTCGCTCTTTTCTGCATTTTAACTATGCCTGTCTGCCCCACAAAAGCAAAACTTGCAACACAACAGCAGAATACTAATTTCATGATTTTGACAAAATCAGCAAATAATGAATCCTATGATTACAGGAAAGCAAATTCTGAGTGAATATTAGGGAAACCCTTAAGAGAAAATACCACTTGACAATGGTAAAAGTTACCCAGAGGTAGCAAGCTTCCGTTTCCTGCTGTGTTATATTCAAGCAGATGCTACACAACTGTCTATCAGCAATCTTTTAATCTGGATTCCCACATGAAAGAGGGTAGCTCTATACGAAAGTGGAAAGTATCTCCTTTGAGGACCATCTTACTTACAAATCTGCAGCATTGTGATTATGTTGAGGTTCGGGCTCATCAGCCTGTCCCTCTCGGTCTTTGGACTGCTTTATCAGTTGAAATAATGGTGAATTCTAAAAGACACCAAACAATAATTACATTTCTTATTTAAATTCTTCTTACTCATAACATGATAGTCTATCTTAGAAGAGCCATCCTATGACTACTGAGAGTAGAAGTTAACTTTCATATACGTTTGTTTCAAACATTTGTCAATACAGCTTTTAACAGCAAGGAATTTAGCAATCATAATACTTATATATAAAGTATATATGCACACAGAAAGCTGCATGTTAAGTTATTTAAATAATTACATTAGTAAATCACAAATTATGAAATATATAAAGAAATCAATGAGATATAATAAGCATACACAATTTGTAAGACTTTCATACTGTTCTGCTTTATTTTGTGTCACAAATAAGCCTGATTTCCTCATTAATAATACCATGTAAAATGATGTATACTGAGTCTCAAAAAGGTTCGGTTCTATATGTTTATAATATTAGATGGATAGGAGTGCTGCAGAGTATCACAATAGCATCCAACTCCTGAAATTTCCTAGAAGTCTCTTATTCAAGTATTATTTAGGTATGATTCAAAGGAATACTTCTTATTTAACCCTGAAAATAATGCTATATAAAGGTAAATGGCCAAGCAATATGTAGTAAAACAACCCCCAAATATCATACCTTAGAACAATAATAGTGCATGTTACCAAAAAGGACAAGCTGTGATACAAACTTTTTCAAAATGTTGGTAAGAATTAAGCATGCTCAGTGGTGATGTAATATTATCTAAGAGTTAGGAATTAACCAAAATCATAGCTGAAATGGAATGAAACAACCTTGAGGCTCATTGAATGCTGCATTTGTATACCTCAATTATCAACATTATATCAAATATAATAAGGAAATTGTAAAAAGCGGCACCCAAGTAAAACAGTATCTATACAAAGATATTACTTTTCTGGGGGGGGAAACCCAAACTACTGTTATCTAAAGATAATTGTACATTGTTTTCAGCATTTCCTCAGAAGTTTTAAAAGATAATACCATGTTTACAAAAAATGCCATATCAATTCTTCTAACAGATATAGCACAATTCCACCACTAAGTGGTGCTTGGCTATAAGATTCATAATTGAATTTTAAAGTAGTACATACATTCGTATCTATAGTATTTAGGATCAAAGACAAATTTATAAAACACTTAAAATCTAACAAGAATTCTTTCCATCCAATGTATGTTCAATAAGCCGTTGTCATATTTTCTGAATGGCCGCATAAGAAGTAAAATGCCATAAAATTCATATAAATTCACTTGATATGCTCAGATAATCCAGCACTATAGAGCTGAATTTTCAAGGAATGTTACTAAGCAGAGTCACACCCTACACCTAGGACTTTGTACCTTCTTTCACTTTTATCTAGGGAAAATATTTAGATAGTCACATTTGTACATGAAGTTAAATATATTAAATTCTGTCCCACAGTATTAAGCATCCTGTATTTAGCTACATATAACATGTATAGGAAATCAAGATGAAACATTAAGGCTTTCATGAAATAAAGACTGGTTTCAAAGTAGCTCAACTCTAAAGCTCATTTGAATCAACAAGGAAATACCAGCTCAGAAAATATAGCAGTTTAATGCAAAAAAAAAAAAAAATGTTTTGAAAAATCTATAATTATACAGCACCAAGCAAAAATATTTTTATAGACTTTTGGGGGGCTGGGGGAAGCTGCCTGCATATGGCTGGTGCTGGGAGGAAGCAGACAAACCCTGTCTATGTGCAGCTGCTGGTGGTGCAGGGGGTCAAAAGGTGGTGGCGCATGATGAGGGGCAGCCAAACTGCCCATTCAGCATCAGACAGGAGGGGGGAGGCAGAAGCTGAACTGCCTGCTAGGCGTCAGGCCGAAGTCCATGTGTGGAGGCAATGGCAAGGGTGAAAATGGGAAGGGGCTTAAAATAGGAAGCCGCTGCGGGCAATGGGCAGGCGGCAACAGGCAACGGGCAGCAATTCGAACTTTCACATCTGTTGCCTCTGAGCCTGGACTCTGGCTTAACACTAAATGGGTAGCTCAGTTACCCCTCCATTGCGTGCCACACCATTTGACACCTCCCACACATACCACCAGCAGCTGTGTTTAACGTCAATGCCCTGCCGCCTCCCAGCCCCCAGGAGCAACACGCAAGCAGTGTTTGCCTGCCTCCTCCTCCCAGCGCCAGCACGAACCACACGTTTGCCTATCTGCTGCCTCTAGCCCCCCCAGAAGCAGCGCACGGGCAGCATTTGTCTGTTTCCTCCTCCCAACACCAGCACCAGCCATATGCAGGCAGCATTTGCTTCTTCCCCCCGCTCTCTTCCATAATTTGTCACCAATCGCAACCTCCTTTCAGCCCCCTTGGTCACCTTTCCCAGCCCCATCGTTACCACCTGCTACCCAATTGTCTGGCAGCTTTTTGTCCCATGGAGTGAAACTCTCAAGACAAACTGTGTCTCGGTGAATGGGCTGAGCCGAAGGGCAAGGGGCGTAGGGCCAGAGGCCCATTGGCCAGGGAGAATCGCTGGGGGAGGGCCAGCAGAGAAAAGCTGGCTGTGAATGGGTGGCTGGAGGCAAAGGAGGCGTGGCCAAAGGTGGGAGCCTGAAGGTCCCATTCTGTACTTCATTGCATGAATGTGGCAAACATGCCTTTACAACAAGCTTTAAATAATGTGCATATATTACGTTTACTACAGAAAAACACTTATGTTTAAGACTAATAAAGTTTAAGTGTCTCTAAAATAAGTTCAGTCTAGCAAATATTTCAAGACAGTTAAAGAAGTTTTGATTATCACACTGAGTTATATGCATACTTTCCAATACAAATATTTGTGACTAAAATCTTTTCAACTAAACACCTTAAAGCAGAATTGAAAACTGAAACCTTTTGTAGCTCAGCCCCTTCTTCCTGTGATGTTATCATGTAAGTTGAGTAAGTATGGGTAGGGCTTTTTGTTTAATCTTCTCTGAAGACGGAAATGCATAATAGCAGAGTAGCATCTGAGGAGGAAGCTGAAATTCAGCAAGAAAGGACATGCTTCGGAATTTTATTCCATCGTACAGTTCAACGACAAGAAGATTGAAAACTGCAACACAGTGATGAAACCTGGACGTCTATTTTCCCAGAAGTTTCAAAGTTACTTAATTTAACTTTACAAAGGATTTATTTGTAATATTTTTTATTTCCAATATTTTTCCAGTGAATGAGAAGGAGCAATCTCAACATTTGAAGAAATTGTACTTGGATTTTAATTAATTTGAAGGACAATGTTCCTTATTTCTGAAATTTGCTACCGTCTAGATTTGTGAACATGAACAACTAATATTCTTGGAAGAAAGGAATGACATACTGATAAGTGGAACTGGCTTACTGAACTATGAACATTTCAAATAATGTGGACCCAAGTGAAGGGAAAGACTAGATTTATAAACCATCTGAGGATTTACTACAGCTATAACAAAGGTACAGACTTACTGAGGAATTTTCTAATTATAAATAATTAAGTTGTCATTATGATGGCAAATTCCAATTGTACTATTCAAGACTCCTTTAAATATACTTTATATGGCTGTGTGTTTAGTATGGTATTTGTCCTTGGTTTAATATCAAACTGTGTTGCTATTTACATCTTTACGTGCACACTAAAAATCAGAAATGAAACTACAACTTACATGCTTAATTTAGCAATATCAGATCTCCTTTTTGTGTTTACATTACCATTCAGAATTTACTCTTTTGCATCAAAAGACTGGCCATTTGGAGATGTTCTATGCAAGATTTCTGTCACACTATTTTATACAAACATGTATGGGAGCATTTTGTTTTTAACCAGTATCAGTGTTGACCGTTTTTTAGCAATTGTATATCCATTTTGGTCAAAGACAATCAGAACAAAAAGAAATGCAAAGATCGTCTGCATTATAATTTGGATAATTGTGACAACAGGAAGCATACCAGCAAGTTTCTTTCAATCCACCAATGCCCGTGTTAGTACTGAAGGATGGACACACAATACATGCTTTGAAAACTTTTCTGAAAAAACTTGGAAAACCTATCTTTCAAGAATTATTATTTTCATTGAAACTGTAGGCTTTTTTATTCCTCTCATACTGAATGTGACATGCTCTGCAATAGTCATAAGGACATTAAATAAGCCAATTACACTGACCAGGAATAAATTAAGTAAAAAAAAAGTTCTACGAATGATACTCGTTCACTTACTGATTTTCTGTTTCTGTTTTGTTCCGTATAACATCACCCTAATATTTTATGCTCTCATGAGAACCCAAGCATGGATTAATTGTTCAATTGTTACTGCTGTTAGAGTTATGTATCCAATCACTCTGTGTATTGCTGTTTCAAACTGTTGTTTTGACCCTATAGTATATTATTTTATTTCAAGCAGCATTCAAAATTCAATAAAAATGAAACCATCAACTAGAAGACAGAGACTTTCTGAAACTCAACTTTCTGATACTCAAGTTCGATCCCAAGCATTAAAAGCAAGAGTACTGGACATTGAATCTACTATATAAATGGTGTTGACAGTTAGAAAATAAACTATAACTATTCTTTTTCTACAAATATAAATGGTTATATTGATTTTAAAAGTTGTGAACACTATTTTTAATCTGTAAACTGTTGTTTCATAAAATTTATATTATCAAAATGAAAAATATTTCATCTATGTGAATTTAAAAGAAAATATTTTTATTATTCAATATCTTGGGAAAAGGAAGTGTTATAATAAAGTGCTAATAGCTTTCCTTATTATCCAATAAATTGTTTTCTTTCTATATTACCAGTATCAATAGTAACATCATTGACAATTTAATATTTTATTCAAAGGTAATACACTATTGAAAATGGAATAATATTCTACCATGTAAAAATGAAGATAAATCGTTTATGGTGATTGTTTATAAAACTGAGGCTTGGTAAAATCTTGTTTATGATGAAGTATTAAATATAACTTCCAACTCTCACATGGAATTAACAAGTTCTAAGTGAAATATTATCATCTCCAACATTTTGGTGACAGTTGAAAAAATTCCTACTGTGAACGAAAAAATATTTGCATAGCCCTTAGACAGAATACTGAGACATTTTCAGATACATTTTTGAGAAGTATGTTAGTTGATTGCAGCAAAAAAATGGAATTATATTGTACCTTAGAACAAGGATCCCCAACCTCTAGGCCATGGCTCACTACTGTGCTGAGGCCTATTCTTAATTTGGCCATGCGAGTGGCTGGCCAGAGCGTGCATACACGTAGATTAATTTGCGTGAGCGGTGGGCTGGCCAGAGATCACATGCATGTGTGCCACTCTGCCACTCGCACAACTGGAACTGTGTACGTGTACACTGGCCTGCCACTCACACTATCCAGTTACCCTCGCCCCTACAACCAGGCCCCAGGCGAAAAGGGTTGGGGATCATTGCCTAAGAAAGATACATAAATGCATCTTTCTAGGTAGATAACTTTCAATATTTTTAAATTGTTTTAGCTAATAATAATAGAGAACAATTAATACACTAAGTTCACAACATAAAATACTGTTCACTTAGCTTTAGCTTAAAATATGAACCTAGCTATACAGGTAGTTCTCAACTTATGACCACAATTGACTCCAAATTTTCTGTTGCTAAGCAAGACAGTTGTTAAGTGAGTTTTGCCCCATTTTATGACCTTTCTTGCCATAGTTGTTATGTGAATCACTGCAGTTAAGTCAGTAACACAGTTGATACATGAATTTGGCTTCCCCACTGACTTTGCAAAACACTGCAACCATCAAATACATGCCAGTTACCAGTCTGAATTTTGATTATGTGATGATGGCGATGCCGCAAAGTTCTTAAAAGTGTAAAAAATAGTCATAAGTTACTTTTCCAGTGCTGTTGGAACTTCAAATGGTCACTAAATGAATGGCTGTAAGTTGAGGACTACCTGTAGTGATATATATGTATAAAATTCATTTTGATTTCTAAACTTCACAACTTAGGGTTTTTTGAGTACCTGGCTATTTATGGCTTATTGAGTAATCCATAGTTTTAAAAAATAATATAAGTGAGTAAACTATGGTGAGATTCCAATGTTTTTTTTCCTTTTGGTCTATACTTTACACATTTGTTCCCTTTAATTTTACTGTTTAGTTCTATTAGTCTTTAAAAGATAGTTGTGAGAGCTCACATGGATTTTCATAAATTGTGTTGGAGGTAACACATCCTTTAAATTGTACAATTTCACTTGAAAACTTGAGTAGCTCAGCAACTTTTACCAGAAAAATAAACTACTTCACCTTAAATTACTGGACAGTCCAATAATCAGTTAGTTTTATATTCTCAGTGATTTTAAAGGCTCAGTGTCTTACAGAAAATTTTACAATAATCAAATCATAAACAAATTAACACTTGTATGAAAAAAGACTGCATCAGTAATAAGTTAAATTGGCACATAATTCTCAATTCTCTGGCTACAATCAATATCAAAACATAGTAAATTACAAATATATTAATAATCCTTATTCAAAAGCAAAATGTGCAAGAAATCATCTTAAATATAAAACTATGATTAAGACTGAGTGAAGCATTCAAAAGAGATGTTTCCAACATGTAGAAACACATGATTCTTTATTAATTAATTAAAGCAACCATTTTATTTACAAGGTCCACACAATTCTTTTGGAAGCTACACCCAGTTGTCTCTGCATGTATGTGCATGCAAAGCCATTTCTCATTTAGGAGCAACTAGAGCATTCAACCTTAAGAGCTGGCCTCCAGCAATCTGCCATTTTAATTCCACATAACCCTGTAGGCCTTATAGGAACCAAACATATTTCTTAGAAAATAAATATAGCATGTGGCAGTGAGCCAGACTTTACTCTGATATATTTCTAGTTAGCAAACTACCACAGGAAAACTCTGGGTTGGAGAATGCTACAACTATGTTGTAGAAATCACAATGTGTGTTTGTTTATATAAACATTAGCTTCTGTAAGCAACTTTAATCATTCGTTCTTTGTATTTCACACATTATTTCTTTGGAGACTTTAGGATTCTAAATATGGTATTTTTTTCTGTGCAGCCAGGATTTTTTTTCAACAGGAACCCAGAACTTCTCCAGTTCATCCAGCTGGTTGGGGAATTCTGGGAGTTGGAAGTCCACATATTTTAAAATTGCCAAGTTTGAGAAACACTGACTTAAAGCAAGAATTAAATTGTCATTGCTAATAAGTATTATTACACATTTAGAGCAGTATCTTGTAAATAATGTTCCCAAATATGCAATCTAAATTCATTCATTCATTGGTTTTTAAATCTGTTATTCTAAAAAACTATTTTTTCTAGAAATATAATAGCAAAGACTGAAATATTTAACATACCTAAAGATAATATCTAACTTTCTATATACACATACAAGCACTCACACATTTATCAGAAACTAATTTCCCGCATTCTATTTTTTTTAAGTCAGTTTTCTAGTAACTTTGCATCCTATTATCTGTATTCATAGAGTTTTCATGTTTGTTTTATACTCGCCTTCTTCCAAATTGACTGACATAAAGAACCTCTTGAGGCAATTTCACCACTAAGGCAGAACTAAAATGAACTCCTGGCTTTCATGGCTGACAAGGATATGATTTAGTTCTGCACAAGATAATATCAGGAAGCTCAGATAGAGGAACGACACATCCTCAGAAAAATTAAAGAGGCAGTTGCAATAGAAGTTCAAAGAGAAAAGATTATAAACTTTCAGATTAATTGTACTTGGTTAGCTACAGGAAACATGGTTTTCTATAACATTATCTTGCTGTTGAAGACCATGACAGGTAGTCCTCAACTTGCAACTGCAATTAAGCCCAAAATTGCTGTTACTAAGTGAGACATTTGTTAAGTGAGTTTTGTCCCATTTTACTACTTTTGTTGCCACAATTGTTAAGTGGATCACTACCTTTAAGTTAGTACCATGGTTGTTAAGTGAATCTGGTTACCCCATTGACTATGGCAGGGATCCCCAACCTTTTCGACGCCGCGGCCCGGTTCCGACATCAGCTGGGCGCCGCGGCCCGGTACCGGCGTCAACTGGGCGCCGCCATCTTTTTATGACGAAAAGGCGCTTCCGGTGAGCTTTCTACCCGGAAAAGCTCACCAGAAGCGCTTTTTTACCAAAAAAAAGATGGCGGTGCCCAGCAACCAGCGGCCCGGTAAGGGTTGTTCCGCGGCCCGGTACCGGTCCGCGGACCGGCGGTTGGGGACCCCTGGACTATGGGGAAGGTCACACAAGGTGATCACATGATCCCAAGACACTGCAACCATTGTAAGTATGAGTCATTTGCCAAGCATCTGAATTTTTATCACATGTCCATGGGGATGCCACAATGGTCATAAATGTAAAAAATGGTTGCAAGTTACTTTTTACAGTGTTGTTTAACTTTGAATCATCACTAAATGAACTGTTGTAAGTCAAGGACTACCTGTACTTGCATTAGAAAAAGCATTTGCCAGATGCATAAGTGTACCTACTCCTCTAGATTCATCTGCCTGCTTTATCATTGGAAGCAAGATTCCTTTATTGCAAGAGGCTACTAGGTAGAATTTTAATAAGGTCTAGTAACATGAAGATTCCTTATTTAATCTGTCCCATCATCTGATGTGAATACATTTAAGAACAAGATCAGTACAGAAGATAGGCTTGTATCTCAGCATCTTGGGCATTTAAAAACGTATGTAGACATCTAATATGTTATATAAACTATAAATAAAATTAAGCTTTCCAAAATTTATTAAGTCTCTTAGGAAACACTAAAAGAGAGCGCAACACCGAATGCCACTTATGTCTTTGTGAAAGCAGAGAATGCTCTTGATTAAATGTTACAAATCAGTTTCTGGAAAAATTAAACAGGTCTTCAACATTGAAAAGAAGCTTAACTTAGGCTGAGAGACTTGGGAGGTATAACAGCATCTGTAAGATGGTTTTATTAATATAGTAGTAGCTAAGGATTAGTTGCATAATTAAAAACATTTGTGAGTACAGCTAAAACCAGAAAATCTTGATGTATTCTGTGGAAATCACTTAGAATTCTTTTTACTGCAGCTTTGATTGGAGTTAAAATAATGTTTGATCATCAGGACTATCTGAATGCATTTGGACTGAACACTTTCAGAAGTAATTAAACACAGTATAAAATCTGTAAACTGAAAAACTATAATACTGTTATTAGCATAAAATACTTAAGTCTTTGAAACAGTAGACCAGCAGTCTCCAACTTTTCCGGTTTTGTGGACGAGCATATGCAGCTCCATTTGTGTAAGCAGCAGGCATGCGTGCCCACAGCTCACACAAATGAAGCTGCATGCACATGTTCTTCCACCATGCCCATGCACCACTTCCGCAGCCTGCCACTGACCAGGATGTGGCCCAGAGGTTGGGGACCCCTGCAGTAGACCACTATGGAACTAGTAAGATTTTATTTAATCTTATTTATTTAATCTTAATTTATTTATTTAATCTTACTTACTTCTTAGGATCCAAGACTTCCAATGCTAATGCAAAGTGGTGAATTTACCTTGTTAATCATGTTAGCCCCCTTTCAAGTAAAACAGTCATCTTTTGACTGCTTAGTGCTTAACTAGAAAGTGGAAAAGTCATATTTTGTCATTCATTTAATGATGTTGGTCTATGACAAAAATGAAGATTTATTGCTTTATTTCTTCCTTTTAGTTTACAGGAAGTCCTCGACTCAGTGACCATTCAAAGTTACAACAGCACTGAAAAAAGTGACATCATTTTTCAGTTACAATCCTTGTAGCATCCCCATGATCATGTGATCAAACTTCAGGTGCTTGGCAACTGGTTCATACTTATGACCATTGCAGTGTCGTGGAGTCATGTGATCAACTTTTCCAACCTTCTGACAAGCAAAGTCAATGGGGAAGCTATTCATTTAACAACCGGGTTACTAACTAAACAACGGCAATGATTCACTTAAAAACTGTAGCAAGAAAGGTCATAAAATGGAGCAAAACTCACTTAACAAATGTCTCACTTAACAACAAAAATTTTGGGCTCAATTGCAGTCATAAGTCAAGGACTACCTGTACTACTGGTAGTACACCAAGGTTCTGAAGCTGAAAAAATAGAGAAACCAAGGTTCATTGCCCCCTTATTAGATAAGCAGAGATATTCTGTGCATAAAGGTAGGTGGAGTTGACTACAATTTTCATTATTCAATATTATTTAAACAATCCAATACCGATTTCAACAAGTGAGTTATGCACCTTTTTTTTTCAAAACATAAAAATAATACATTAAAATTAAAGAACAAACTTTAATTAATTTGGATTATACGTTTATAAAATTATCCTAATGTAAATTCAGAGTTCATTCACTAAACTATACATTAAAAATAATTTTATGGAACATAGACATACAATACCGTGTTATATGTTTAGAAAACAACTTACTGATTGCCATGCAAGCGATTCCATGATTTTGTGTTCACAGCATTCCAGGTGTTTTATCATCTCTTTGGTCAAGCTTGGTTCTGCTTTAATGAAGCTTTCAACAATTATGTATAAATCAAAGGCTTTCAAATCCAGGATGTTGATGATCCATGGAAAAGACAGGTCTGTCTCTACATTCCCATTCTGTGAGGCATTTCTTGAAGCTTAGGAGAACACAACTGATTAATGTGGAGCAACAAAGTCATGTATAAAATTAGTTGTTATGCTGAGTTATTACAAGACTTAACATTTAAAATAACATTTTAAAGATGGTAGATTCCCTATCTCACAAAATGCTTTGGGGGAAAAAATTTGTCTCAAGAATGATTGCTTGATAATGCTTCTAGTTAATTTGAACTTACTGCCGTATGTAGCCATGACTAGCTCAAGAGCACAAGCCAGCAAAGAGATATGGAAAACATCATTATTCAAAAGTTTGCTGTAAAAGAAAAACATACCTCATTAACAATTTTTTATCATATAAGCATTCTAAAATAGTTTTACAAAGTAGAGATATCTAAAGAATATTTTAGTAAACATACCTGAAATTATGAACTGACAGACGTTTTTCTTCCTGTAACAGGAAGAAAATTTAGCACAGCACTTTTAAAGCTAACATATAGAGTATTATAAAAAATAATATACTGAAAACATACCGACTTTAATAAGGATTCCATCACTCGATAGTATAACCTTACTCCAATTTTATACCTCTGAAATAGCAAATAAAATATTATTTTATAAGTGAAACATAATGCTATGAATACAAATTATTTAATCTCTTTTGCCAATTTTTGTGGACCATTTAATTATACAGTATTATACTGTACTCAAAATGTGGATATATAAATAAAAAAACTTGACCATCAGAAAAAGTATATAGTGATAAAACAATCAAAGCTGTAGGCCTCATCTTGGCCTCATTTTCTCTTTTCCACTTGAATAATGCCAATTGTTTGTAATTGTCTTTGTTTTGATCTCATTGTTCTGAAACAATGAAACACCTCTTCTAGACATTTTGCATTTCTTAATTGTTTTACAAGAGAATTTAATAGAATTTAATTGCTTTACAAGAGGATTTAGTGAAGATAAGCAACCAGTAATAATTGATAGCTACCCAGAGTCAATTTATCGGTGAGATGAGTAGCATATAAATTTAATAAATAAAAATAAATAAATGAATAAATAAATATCAGGCTGAGGCATTCAGCAGGCCATCTTCAACAGTGCTCCAATTCTAATTATTGTAGCACCTCAAATACCATTCATTCCAATATATTTATAGGCAACATTGGTTTTTATTTCATTTCTATATTGTATTTATAGGATATGTATATTCTCTTTGAGTTTTAGATTACACAATGTTTTAATAATAAAATAGAGCTGACATAAAACCAAGTTGTTAAAATCAGCTTGCTTCTACAGATAATTGCAGCATCTTATTTGCAGCAACTTTTGTTCCACAGATATGTAAAGGATGTGAATTAATAAGAATTATGACACCTACATGATTCATGAGGAATACTTTAAATTCATTGATTTCTTCAACTCAATGCATCCCCAGTTCAGAATTTACCTAGCACTTAAGAAAAAATATATTTTGCTTTTAATTATTGAAGAACCCTACCTGAGATCCAATTTCAGCACAGCCTTGTCCAACTGCTTCAGCAAATTTGTTCTTGAAGATAATACCCATATTTTCTACTCTTTTCACTATTGATTCATGAGGATTAACTGTGCAGTTCTATAATATTTGGAAGGAAATCTTTAGATACCACCATCAAAGCTGACAACAGCCAGAACACAGAACAACTCAAAATAGTAGTGCAAGGTCGGGAAATGTGGAGAGACCTTGCCCATATGATTCGTGAAGAGTCAGATACAACTGAATAGGTAACATCATCAACATCTTTAGATACACAATATTATATTAGAAAAAGAAAAAAAATTCAATTAGAGGGTGATCTTTATAAATAGTACATTATTAAATCATTGCTTCATGTTGTTAGCAACAGGATAAGATTGTTTTAGTCATAACAAACATGTAATTAAATTATTATGTTTAAGAAATCAATTCAGGAGACTAAGATGTAACAAACAGCCTTTGAATTAATTTAAAATTTAAACTCACAGATATATTATTGCAATAGAAGAACCAACTTTGCAACATGAGTTTTTTTTATCAGAGTAGTATGATTGCTATGAACATTATAGTCAATAGATAGCAATGATTCCCACTCTGATAACCTCTTATTTATATATTATATTAACCTGCCTTTGAATATAGTTCAAAATATAGAACTAATCTTACTATTTAGGATCTGTTCTTATGAACATGTTACAACAAACTTTTAGAGGTTTGGGGTTGTTTTTTTGTTACAGGGATGAATATTATAGACCTATTTAGGGTACAATATGAGATGGACCCTATATAAAACAATGCCTCTCATATTAATACCGGTTTTTCCATTGGTTGGCAAAATGTTTATTTATTAATTTTGTTTGCCGCCCGTCTCGCCATGAAGTGACTATGGGCAGATTACAACAGGGTTCCCCAATCCCTGGCTGCTGCCCATTACTGGGCTGCTCCCTGTTCAAAACCGCTCATGGAAGCAGCAGCTGAGTGCAGGCTGACCTGCTTCTTGCACGGAACCATCCCATCTCCCTCTCTCCTCCACACTGGTCTGCAAAGCTGGAAAGGTTGGTTGACCACTGGCTTACAACATTAAAAAGAATAAAACAATGTGTAGATAATAAAAAAATAAAACACTATAAAATGCAAATTATCAATTATAATTAAAAGAGGGGGAAGGGGGAGTAGGATGAAACTGGGGGGAAGTGCAATTTGTTATTAATCTATCAACTACCCCCAGCATGACACTTCCCCATATGTAACTAACATAACTAAGGACCAAAAATAACTTTCTGGGTGGCTCACATTTTGCCTTTGCATTAAACTGAGATTTTAGGATTTTGTGCAATGATTGAAAAAAGAGGAAAAAAACAAAGTTTAGCCTATAAGCCTAAAGTCTGCCTATATTAAGTCTGCCTATATTAAGTTCAACAAAGGTCTTTGAATATGCTCCAATTTGAAGTACAGGAAATGACCTTGAAGCAAAGGGCATTTTCTGCGTCAGCTCCTTCCCATGTATGAGATGTTGCGCAGGCTAGGACCAAACTGTTGTCATATCAATACTACTTGATATGGGTTAGTATGATATATAAAACTCAACCACTGTCCCCTTGACTAATAGCTATTGGGATGGCAGAGCAGGGAGATTGAGGTTGCTTGGGATATAATAATTCTCTACTTAGAAAATTTATTCAGAGCAACAAGTAAAATAAATAAAGGCTTGCTGTAGGGGAGTAATCATAAGTACACAGCTATCAATTTACAGAAACTGACTTGTCCTTTCCTCCTCTCACTGAACATTAAAAAGGTCCTTTGGAAAATCTATGTGTTTTTAGAGAAGTTGTTGGTGAGAGTTATATATGAGGAAATCCTTTCTGCCAATGTCAACCATAGTGAATATCGCCCAATGATTCAATAAAGAATATCAATTTTCTTCTTAATTAGCACTTTTATTATAACATTGTGTTTTTATTCCTGACAGAAATCATGCTCATCCTACATCCTTTTCCCAAAGTGTATGGCTTATAAACTGGTAAATCCTGACCAAATAATTAAAACAGCGGTCCCCTGCCTTTCCAGCTTGGTGGTCCAGCCTGGTGGGGGGGGGGGGGGAGTGGCAGGCACATTCGTGCACAGACATGTGTGCAAGTGGAGAGAGCTTGTGCATGCGTTTGCCCATATCTCCCATGGCCCGGTTTTAAACTGTGGTTCAGTAGTGGGCCATGACCTGGGAGTTGGAGACCCCTGCTCTATAATATTGAAAAATGTATTTTTCTTTATTTCCTTTTTAGTTTTAAAAAAAAACATATAAAGATCCTAACAACTTAAGACATAGCCTGATTTTCCTGTAATGTTAAGCCATAATTTTGAATGTGCTTATAACTATAGGCTTGTTTTAACAGTTGTCTTACTATGTCTTAACCTAGATTCCACTTGGTGTGTTTTATATTCAATAAAAGCAATTACAAAACAAAATAATTCCCATTATATTCAGCTCCATTTAGTTAAACAACAATATTTTTGCATGCCCATATCATACCTGAGCAAAAGCAAATATGGGGATGTATTGAATTTTGTTACTGTTCTAACAAAAAATAATTGCAGAAATTCAACAACTATCTTTAGAATTGCAGGAAAAGCACATACATAAATATTCTTCATAAAAATACACAATGGCATAAAGAAATTTCTAACATATTGCACAAGATGATTAGCCAACAAACCTGATCAACAGCAGTATATACTACCAACTTCTTCACATGTCTACTTTTAACCAAACTGGAACTTATTGAAACTTATTACATATCATGCAAATCTGAAGCAATTATTATTTACAGTCAGAAACAAAACATAATCTGATACAAACTAAGAAATCAAAAGTATAGTTAAATTGTTGCTACTTACATTAAAATAGAAGAGAAGGTTGTCTGAAGGGATATCACTTGCAGAATTCAATATTATCATTAACTGCTGAATAGTATTCATTGCAGCTCTAAAGTGAACGAAGAACACTATTAGTATTTTTCGGAAATACAACAGCATATAACATTATAGCTGTTCCCTATAATGACAGCATTAACTTCCTTTGAAGCATTTCAAACTACCCATATTAGGAAGAACTTATTTGTAATAGTGAAGTTGTACAACAATTTCAATCATAGATTTGCTAAAGTGATCTGAGCCATAAAATGTTTGCAAATATTCTACTATATACTAAGAAACTGCTAATATTAAAATATTTGAATCCCTACAAAGGCTGTTGCATTTTTCTTTGAAAGTACAAATGTGAAATGTATGCAATATTTCAATAAGACCTAAATATTTAAGAAACTGACACTTATTTTGTTCAACTTATTTAAATGTGTGTGACTTACAATTTAGAAATAATTTAATTCAAGCATTAAAATAAATTAATACTAATACAATTTAAATCATTCTTACCGAACAGGGGTTTGTGGAAGTACACTAGGAAAATCTTCAATTTGGTTTTTTGTAGGAGTTCTCTCTAACTGTAAACTTAATTTAAGAAAAATGTCTTTACACATACACGTCATGTAGATATAAAAGCTTCTTTTCTTAATCCAAGCTAAAATCTCTGGTTACCTTTGCTCCCCCCACCATTCCTGAAAGAGTTCTTGTTAATGGCAACATTCAAAGAGGGATTGTTACATACTCCTAGCTGAGTTCTAATAATAGTAGTTCCTATAGTGGCCTTGTTCTGTGACGTTTCTTGCTTCATTCTTTTCACTCATTTTTTTTTTCAGGATGTATTAGATATCCATCTAGTATTTATTCATTCTCATTTCCTTTAGCAAATATCCCAGACTTAGCCTTGACTGACTCTTGTAATTCAAAATCATATCTACTTGTTTATATTATAATTATCACTTGGAAGAATCAAATATCCATTTTAGCCCAAGCTTCTACAAAATGAGCAACAGCATTGCCAAAGCTAGATAGGAATTAAGAAAAGAAAGCATACTATCTTTAACCAAATTGGATCTGTTCTATTGTCAATAAGATCATACATCTGGATAGTCATTCTAATCTTCCATTCTTAAATAAGTTACTGCCTGTAAGGCAGCTGAAGCTAATCGTCAGATTATCTAATGAACTAACAAATAGTACTTGAATACAGACTATGCAAAAAACAAAATATATTACCATTCTGCATTTTCATCTTGCAAAGTCTCATCTTTCTCTAGAAATAATCTAGCATCAATATCCTTGTTTTTCAAATACATTTCTTCATATTTGCTTGACATATCTTCAACCTTAAGTTGAAAGAAAAATAGATTCATACTGAAAATATACTATTCATCTATGATACATTTATATGTAATTTATTTTGGAAACATTGTTTATATTCAACTTATTTACTCCATTTATTTTAATAAAAGCATTATTTAAGTTATCATCTAGTGCAATGGTTCTTAAACTTTGGGCAATGATTACTAAGGGAATAATATGGGCATATCCTGCGGGTAATGGAGTAATTTATAATTATTTCTTTTTGAGCCCAGGATCTGGCTTTGGAGACTTATTAGGAAAAGAGTAACTGGGTAAAACAGTTTAAGAACCACTGATTTTGTGTCATGTGACATTCAAATGCATCTATATTAACAAAAAGTATTAATAAACTGCTAAGTAGCCTTTCATTATTAGAAAATCTATCACGGGATAAGTTTCTAATTGTCAAAATCAGATCAAGTATTCATAATGGCAAATAGATTTTCAAATTAATGTAGATTTACCTCTGGAAGTCCTGTGAAAGTTGCAATACCCATTGAATTCAGAAATGGAATAAAGCTAGTGAAGTAAACATTTTTCACCTAAAATTATAAAAGAGCATCAGTGTCATGAGTGTTATTTTTGCCAAGTGTCCCAAATGTGATCATGTAACCATGGAGGTTTTTGCAACAATTGTAACTTGAAAGATGGGTCATAATTTTTTTTGAGACTGTTGTAACTTTGAACAGTGTTAAGCAATCAATTGTTAAGTCAAAGACTACTTGTGATGGAAATAGTAGGCTAGCCCTGGCAGCCAGTTGCCTTTTTCACTTCAATAACCACCAACTGAAATATCAAAGTTGTGCAAATATTGAACTGGCTACAATACAATTTATTTAAGCAGTGTGAAAAGTCAGTTTACTAAGGGAATATAATCCTTCTAAAGAAAATATGAACACTGTGAACATCCAGGAGAGAGAGAAAACAAGGATTAAATATTGGAAACATATCCAATATTGTTTCCATATCCAATAAAAGGAACATGAATCGTCCCAGAAAATGCCAGCTAACTAATTAACTCCAGAGAGCCAGTTTGGGCTAGCAGTTAAGGCACCAGGCTAGAAAGCAAGAGACCATAAGTTCATGTCTTGCTTTAGCCATGAAAGCCAGCTGGGTGACCTTGGGCTAGTCACTCTCAGCCCAACACTCCTCACAGGATTGCTATTGTGGGTAAAATAGGAGGAGAAAGGTATGTTGGATATGTTTGCTGACTTGAGTTATTTGTAAAGAAAAATAAAGGTGGAATGTAAATAAATATATAAATAAATTTAAAAATCATGGAATTTGAAAAAAAATGTATAACGAGAATTTAGGCTGGGAAAAAATATTGCAGAATTTTTCCAAAAATGTTGAGTATTTGCGACCTCCATAAAGTGAATAATTCATTAAAATATAACCAACAGGGCCAAAACATGTCAGCTACTTAAAAATCCAGAAATGAATACCCTTTCTATTATGTGAACCCCAGAATTTCCAGGATTTTAATGATATAAGTAGGAATTTTCCAAGAGAGCCTACAAAGACATACTCTGCTGAATTTTCATTCATATTCCATTAACTGATAAAATATAAAGTCAATTATAACTATCATAAAATAGTTTCAATTTAGCTAGTGAAATCCTAAATGATTTGTTTTTAATTAGGATTAGCATTTTGGGGCTTGTTAATACATAAATTAATCATGGAACACTATTAGTTTAGATGACATTACATAAGAGACAAATTGTTCTACGAGTACTCCTTGACGCATAACAATTGAGACCAGAATTTTGATTGGGAAGCAATCACTATAAAACTATTCATCAAATCATTGGATCCAACTTCCAAGATCATTTTTACCATGGTAAAAGAGTGTGAGGGAGGATTGGAGAGGGTACACAAGGATGTGGGAAGATATGTGACAGGCATAGGTTAGGAAGAGTGCACAAGAGGTGGGCCAGGGAGGGTGTATGCAAAAGACACCACGTAAACTGGGGAGGGTACACAGGGGTGTGATGCAGGTGAGGGAGGGCGCATGTGTGGCTGATTAACATGAGCCCAAAGAAACTGGGGAAAGATGGGTGGGTGGGTGGAGAAGAACAACCAACTGAAGCACAACCAGATTGTGATTGTGGAAGCTGGAACTCCTAGCACCAGGCTTAGCCCAATTCGTTCAGTGCCGCTCTAACTTGGAATGATCACCAATCGAATGGCTGTAGGACTATTTGTATGTTTCTTTCTTCATTTTTGGTATTTTTTTCAGTAAAACTTGGTAAGATAAATTAAAATAAAAAATATTTTGTATTAAAAATACAAAATTCTAAAAATTCTACTCTTACCTCATCCAAACTACAATCATACTCTTTACAGAGCTCTTCAATAACCTTGATGTCTATTTCAGTTTTTGATGTTCTTGCACTTCTGTTCTGACCTTGCCTACTTGTTCGAGATGAGCCATGACCAGACACTGCAATTCTAGATTCTATGGAAAGAAGCCAATTGTTTGCTTATTGTAATGGATTACTTCAAAGCAATAAGCAAAAATTTAAAAGTGCTTTCAAGTATACAAAAAAGGATTTGTTTACTAGATCAGAAATTGTCAGGCGCGAACAGGTAGATTCACGCATACTTAATCCATCCTCCTAGCCAGGCTGGGTGCTTCTCAAAAGAACTATTAAATGTGAGACAGTATGGAGATCAGGGGTGTCAAACTGGATTTCTTCAAGGGCCAAATCAGCATTGTAGTTCTCCTCCGTGGGCCGGTGGAAGGAGAGACAGGACAGATGCCTCCTGCAGCACCCTGCAGGCCAAATCGGGATGTGGTAGAGGCGCGCGTGGGGTGCCCTACACCTCATTTTCAGCCTCTATGACCTCCTGAGACACTGTTGGCCAAAAACCCCCATGTAGCCCATTTTTGGCCAGAAGTGCTACTGGAGGCCGGGGAGGCCAAAAACGGGCCTCACGGGGCCTCCGCAAGGCCATTTTTGGCTGGCAGAGGCACAGCAGGCCAGTCCTTTGATATTTCCAGGTGGGTCCCGCGGGCCAGATTTAAGCACCCCAGATCTGACCCACGGGCCTTGAGTTTGACACTCCTGGTATAAATCATAGAGTTTTGAGCATGCACCAAGAAAATCTAGTCCATTCTCAACCACAGTAGCCTATTGAATGATTTTTGGGCTGGTCACTCTTAGCTCAGCCTACATGATAGGGCTGTTGCTGTGGGAGAAAATGTGAAGAGGGGATTTTTCATCTTAAGCTCCTGAAAGAAAGTAAATATAAAACCAATAAATTCATAAATAAAATATAATTCAGTTCATGAATACATTTCAAAAGATGTCTGTCCTTTCTATGTGAGATATCTTCCTCAAAACTTAACTAACTTTGGTTTAAGACCTTAATTCTCATACCAAATTAAAAAAGTTTAATGGTTTAATCCACGTCTCTCTAAGAATAGAGTGAATCCTTTATTTTGAGATATCTGATAGTGTTTCCTCTTCGGAGGAAAAGGGCAAAGAAGCAATTTTCCCAGTTGCTTCTTTTCCTCTACAAAACTTCCTTCTACTTTTTTACACTACTCCAAATGGTTCCCATGTTATTTATATGATCTTCTCAGAGATGTAAAAGAAATGGACAAATACCTTTTTGTCCAGCATGATAAAAATATAATTCTAAGCTAGTTCATATACTTGCATGGGCTAAAATAAAATAATGCACATACAATAATTTATTAATTTTTAGAATTTTCCCAAGCATGATTCAAAGTTAAAAATTTATATTTGTGCCTACTCATTTAGATCATTATATGAAAAGGTGTTACTTTGCAATTAAATATCAAATTGCAGGGCAAAGAGTGTCAGAACCTGGGAATGGAGTTAAAAGAGAGCAGTCCGCCAAGAATCTCTATATAACCACAAGCAGACTAAGTCAACCCCCTTGAATTCAGTTGACCTTATCTTACTCCCAGCAGAAGTTGCTAGTTGAGAATATTCCTGTACATAAATATGAGTAGCAATAAAGCAGTTTAATTGGACTATGTGTGGATCTGATCTTTTACGCCTGACAAAATGAGTTAGAACAGAGTCAAAGTAGAAGAAAGCAATAGTTGAACTGAAAACACAGCTATGAAATGTATAAGGCAAGATAACATCTTTTGAACCGTTATAACTATTTTAATATAGTCATTATATTTGTTAATAAAATATTTTAAATCCTTACTATATGGTTCTTTAAGTAGTGCAGGGGGTAATTGTCTGATACAATAATCAAAAACACACAGCAGAAGCTGAAAAGAGATAACCAATTCATCTTCCATCTGCAGTATTTTTCCTGAAATATTAAATAAAAATCTTTGTATAAATCTTTATAAATCAAGACTTTTTCTTTTTAAATTTTCATTTAAAGCCATTATAAAATAATTATTTGCTCCTTTTCTCCTGTACTCCCCTAGTTCAGAGGAAGCCCTAAAATTCATAAAATGTTAGTAATAGTTTAGTCTAGTGGTTAAGGCACCGGGCTAGAAAATGGAAGACCCTGAGTTCTAATTCCATCTTAGCGATGAAAGCCAACTGGGTGACCTTGGGCTAGTCACTCTCTCTCAGACCAACCCACTTCACAGGGTTATATGGGGAAAAGGTGTACTGGATATGTTTGTTGCCTTATTTGTAAAAATAATATATGGGATAGAAATAAAAAAAAAAGTAGCGGAATACTGAATTTCAGCTGCTATAGATATTAAATATATTCCTCTTTCTTTTGCTCAAATGAATTGATAAGATAAATCTTATCTCGGTCCTACCAGAATAGTGAGCCACTATAATGCATTGGTTAAAATGCTGGATTGGAACAGAGAAACTGAAGTTCAAATTCCACTAGACCAGGGGTCTCCAACCTTGGCAACTTTAAGACTTGTGGACTTCAACTCCCAGAGTTCACAAGTCTTAAAGTTGCCAAGGTTGGAGACCCCTGCACTAGGCCATGAAACTCCTTGAGTGACACAGGCCAAGTCATTTTCTTTTACCAAACATTTTTATTATAGAAATTATATGAGGGGAGAGAGACCATCACAATCCTTTGAGATCTCAGAGTAAAAATAGGTCTTAAACATACTATACCACTCAATAATATTAACTATTACTTGTTTTTGTCTTGAACTAATATTAAACCAAAAAAATCCCCCCAAAATACTTTATTAATCAAACCGTTAGTTCAATTATAAACACAATTTGAAATGAAGTAAATCACATGCAATAATATGATTTAAGCATCCATACCTTTTGCCAAAAGAAACATGATCCAGCAGAGTTTTGTAAATAAGCAAGAACTTATTTCAGCACAAGTTCTACAAAAAAAAAAAAACCACAGTAATTTGACCACATTTGACCTTTTAAAACAATGGTAAATATAGTTTGCATAGAATAGAACTTTTCAGCCAAATAAAAGTTACATAGGAATATTTTGTTTACATTTTTACATTATGTGGTGACATCAATGAAAATAAAACAACATGACTGTCCTCCTACTATTAACTTTATCAGAACTCATAAAAATTCAAGATAGGAGCGATAGTTTTCACTTTCTTGTACCATCAACCTGGATCAATAGCTACATTTCTGAATCTATCTTCTGAACTTATTTCAAGATATCTAATTATGGTAAGATTATTTATTAAAGTTATTCTTACTTCTCCATCACTAATTGTATAACATTTAAAATCTGATTTTGTCATTTTAAGAAAAAATCAGCTAACAGCCCCATACTTAACTGCTCACCCATCTGTCCTTACCCATTGTGCTGCCTGAATATTTGAAGTAAGTTTTATAATATTAGCCATTTTTATTCTATGAAAACAAACTTACTGATCGTTGGGCTTGTCAATGCAGATAAGTTCACAAATCCTAAAACAATAGAAATGAACACATCTGGGTATAAAATCTGAAATTTCACCTTAATATACTGCATTTATAATATCTTAGAGGAGATAGTTTTGTTATGGGGAATAATCAAAACTGATTATAGTAGCAAAAGTATTTTTAGTGAAACTGGGTTGATGCAAAATGGGATTATTTATCATTTTTGAAAAATTTAGGAAGCAGATCTCAGGGTTCATAATTCAATAGGAAGGGCCCATGTTGACTATGTTCTTGAGGTGATCTGGCGGTCCTCAGAGCATAATAAAAAAAAGTTGAAAACACTTAGCTGTTATCGAACTAAAAAAAAAGCAAAACTTTTTAACATATTACATTTCATATTACATCCATCTTACATATTACATTTCTTATTTCATCCATCAATGTATGTTCATGTTAAAATATTTTAAACCACTTATTTAAAAATTAAGTGATAAACAATATAAAATAACAAAGCTCATAGTAAAGATATTACATTATAAAAAGAATATAATAAAACCAACATTCACTATCAGAGAACCCGGCATGTATTTAGGATGGTTACAGTGTCCCAGGGTAATATGATCACTTTTTGCAATCTTCTGACAAGTGAAGTCAATGGGGAAGCCAGATTCACTTAAGAACCATGTTATTAGCTTAACAACTGCAGTGATTCAGTTAACAATGCGACAACAAAGGTAGTAAAATGGGACAAAACAAACAACTAAATTTTAAAGAGAGCCGGCATGGTCATACTCCACTCAGTATCAAAAATGCAGATGTAAAGGTGGTCAACAGTATTAAGTATCTGGGGGTGCAGGTAATTAACAATCTGTACTGCTCTTTCCACACATCATCCTTAGTAAAGCGTGCAAACCAGTGTCTGTATTTCCTGTGTTGGGTGAGAACACATCTTTCTCCTTCTGTCCTGGCCACTTTTTACAGAGGCATGATTGAGAGCATTTTAACAAACTGCATCACTATTTGGTTTGGTAGCAGCAGTGCCTCAGATAGAAAGTCCATACAGAGAGTGGTAAGGACAGCCAAGATTTGCTCGCTTCCTATTATTCAGGAGGCTGCTTATAAGCGCTATGTGCTTAGAGCTCAAAGCATTGTTAGAGACCCCGCACACCCACTTCACGGTCTGTTTCTGTTGCTCCCCACTGGGAGGATGTTTCGAAGTATTTCTAGCAAGACTACCAGATTCTGTAATAGCTTTGTTCCCTATGCTGTCCGTCTGGTAAACTCGCAAGACTCATTTTTCTCACCATGTACATGGGTACATCTGAACAAGACTGTATTGTTTCTCTGTGTCATATATTATATGTGGGTATATGCATAATTTTGTATTTGTTTGTTTGTTTTGACATGTTTATGTAGTGTATTTTGGAGTGGTGACCCTTTGAGAGCTGTATGCAACGACATTTCATTTTAATGTATGCAAATTAGTGTACATTCAAAGTGACAATAAAGTTATTCTATCTAACTGTTCCACTTAACAACAGAAATTTTGGGCTCAACTGGGGTCATCAGTTGAGGACTACTTGTATTATATCAAGCATATTAAAGCTTGTACCATCTATAGCATGGTTGTCAAATTTGCCTCATCATGTTGTCGTCAAGCAACTTTTGCAACGTTTTCCCCCTTCGTGGAGCTGGGGTGGGCTTGGCTTGAATGTGCCACATCTTGTCCACGGACCCCCAGTTTCACACGCCTGATCCATAAAAACTGCTACTGACTGGCCTTACCTCACATACTTTTTTTTTAACCACAAAGGAAAAACAACTTTGAACTCAGTAATAGCCCTTACAATATTTTCTTTTTCAAATATATATTAGATCAGGGGTGTCAAACTCAATTTCATTGAGGGCCACATCAGGGTTGTGGTTGACCTTGGGAGGCCAGGTGGGTGTGGCTGACTGGGTGGGTGTGGTCAACTAGATGGGTGTGGCCAGCTTGATGCCACTCCCCAAACTGCTGGCATGTTTCCTCTATGCACCGAGTAGACTGGGCCAAAAATACATTGGCCTGAGTTCTTCGCACTGGGTAAACTGGGCCGATCTTTCCTCTTTGTATTGGGTAGACCAGGACAGCTCCACAGGCCAGGTTCAACCACACTGCGGGCCACATCCAGCCTGTGGCCCTTGAGTTTGACACCTCGATATTAGATGATGTTAACAAGTCAGAAAATTGAAGATTAAGCTACAAGTTTCCTTTTTAAACAATTGTTAATAGTACAAAACTGGAACAATCACGTGATTCCTGGTTCTGATTCAAACAATACCCTTTAAATTTCACAGCAATAATGTTAAAATCATTTGTTCTAGTTTTCTTACCAGCAATTATAAAGCTATTTCATAACATATATTTAAGTATTGCTTAAGCAAAAACTCCTTTTTAAATAAACCTAAATGCAATAATATCTTACCTTGTAAACTTCTGGTAGAGTGCAAACAGTCTATCATATTTTATTTTTAGACGTAATATAGTACAGCCCACTTTAGTACTAATTGTATCCATGTTGACATCTATTTCTTTAATCAAGTGCAGAAATTTGCATACACTGCAAGAAAAAAAGAAGAGTGCAACCAAATCATTCCTTTCTAACATTACTAAATTAGAGCTGTGTGAAAAAGTCCTGCACGCATTACGGTTTATGACATTTTTTTGGATAGGCCATTGATTTTATGATATTTTATGCTAACTGCTATGCAAATATTGTTATATTTAAATAAATACTGGTGGTTTTTAAGTGAAAAGCATAACCTTCTTGCAATTTGGTGCTGTTTGGATGGGGATTGTGAAATTTCTTGCATGCTTACAATGACTATGAAAACAGATTAACTGATGTGGCATACGTGTTGCAATTACTAAGGCCGATGCAAGTGTTTTGTTAACATTTTTATTGTTTGTGGCCCTAAAAAGGACCATTTAGGTAACCAAACATGGTTACTAATATGAAATTGGCCAGCCCTTATTGCTTATCACCAGGCGGCATCGCTTTGGCATAGGCTGTACAGTATGCCAAGTGGACCAACGAACAGTGGGCCAAGGTCATCTTCAGTGACGAGAGCAATTTCTATTTGACTGGGAAGCAGTGCAATAAGTATGTCAGAAGATTTCCAGCTGAAGGATTTAGGCCATACTGCCTGAATCTTATCTGGGAATCATCCATTGCATGTGATGATCTGGGGCTGTATTGCTATTGATATAGATCAGTATATCGGTATTGATCGGATACAAATTGTGCAGGGAATCATGAATTCCATGCAGTATGTGGAAGTCCAGGAAAAGACCATGCTTCCTTCAGCTCAGCAACTTGTAGGGAAGGACTTTTACCTCCAGGATGACAATGCTCCTTGTCATCGAGCCACGACCATCCAGCAGTGGATGAAGAAGCATGGTGTTTGACTCCTGGATTGGCCAGCTCAGAGCCCGGATTTGAACCCAATTGAGAACTTGTGGGCCAAGATTGGTTATGAAATAAGGAAGAAGCATCCGAAGACCAAGCAGGAGCTGATTGAATCCATTATTGCAGCCTGGCACCACATTGTCACCAAAGATCACATGCAAAGGCTTATACAGACACATCAAACATACCTAATTTTTAAACATTTCAGAAGTTCTGTAAAAGTGAATGTCATCTCATCCAGGTCAACAGCAGCCATAAAAATGCAGATACCCCACACTTCTTTTTTCAGCTGGCTCTCCTAGAATATAAGGTTAGCTCAATTGTATTATTTAGAGTTGTAATAAACAAACATCAGATCAAAATTTATATTTAATGTAATTGTCTTACCCATAAATTTTGCAGTTATATTTATATAGTTTACCATCATATCTTCTATTATCAAAGTAGGTTGATCAACATCTATCAGTTTACAAAAGGTAATTGCTGTTGCTGAAAATATGGGGAACTCAAAAAGAATTTTTAAGTTATTGCTATTTCAAATGTAAGAATAGCTCAGCAATACTTAGGATTGTGTTTCTTAGGATAAATCAAATATTGAAGGTTATTGCACCAAAAGAAAAGGGAGATAATAGAAAAAACAGGATTTTTGTTTAAGCCCTAACTTTTATCCTGGAAGTTGAAATACTTGCTATTGAGTAACATTTCAAGACTGAAATTATTTGTTTGATACCATATCACCAGTGTATACTATTTGAGAAGTCTTTCCTAGCTGGCATCTTCCAGATATCTTGAAAATTCAAAGATCTGGCAATGCCAGGAGCTCCTTTTATAGACTCAGATTCAAATATCAATATCTGAATACTTTATCGCTATTTCATAGGATTTGAAAATAAAAAATATATTTTATACTTCAAAATCTTTCCTCCCAGTAGTATTAAGTCTTGGTATTAATTGAATGAAGCCATAAATGGGAATCCTCTTATTAGAGGCACAAGATATATACATATATTTTATGTATATGTGTGCCTTTTATATTTAATACAATTCTGTACTTAGGGCCAGCAGATCAAATTGCACTTCTCCAACCATAATTTAATAATCAAGAGTAACAAAAACACTTTCTAGGGTATACCTATATATTAGTACAACTTGGGATATGTCAAGAAATCAATGCAAAACTATTGAATAGGATTTCTATATTTTGTCCAGTTTATTCTTATTGGCAAAAAAAAGCCACAGGACCTTAGAGTAGATTATACAGAGAAAGAAGCTGGAACAGACTCCCTATTACACAAAGAGGAAAGGAAAAGGAGGAATAAAGGTCTACCTATAGATGGGCCTTCTGTTTACATAGGGAAAGATTCTTGTACTATATCAAAGTTGCCAGCCATAAATTGCAACACCCAATTCTGAAATATTAGCACTTGCACTACAAAACAAAACTTTGTCTAGATTTTATCACATGTGTACTAATATTATTTATTTTAAAATCAACTTCAACTCATGAGAAAAGTGAAATAGCACTAAAAATAGAAACAAAAACTAAATTGGGGGAGATGGAGAGAGTGTTTGGGTGTGTGCGTATTTGATATTATTTTCCAAAATGTATTATGGTTATTACATTGTTAATGTAATATTTAAATTACATACTTAATAAGCAAGATATACTCACTACATCCATTTTTTCATAGGCCTTCCAAGCTGTTATTCTCACGTTGTCTGTTATGTGTAAAGCATCACATAAGGAAACAAAGTCTGTTTCAGCAAACAAAAGCCTAGCAAAGAGAAATATATAAAACTGAATATATTAGGTACTTGACAGATTACATAATTTTGTGGAATATGTACTACACTATTTATTTTAGCAAATAAGGTACTTTCACTTCCAATACTTTTCTTACATATAAGCACAAACAATAAATTGTATATGAAAAATGCAATCATGGGCCCTATCTGTTACCAACAGGTACCATGGTATTTTCCTGACCTCATTCCATGAAGTCAAGAGTTTATTCATATACATATCAATGCACACAGTTATTTTACTGGTATTTGGATGCAGTGAAACGTATTTTATTCATTCTGAAACCTAAGAAGAGTTCTGATGAAAAGCATCATCTGAAAACAATGACACTTTAATTGTTGCTATTAAGCAGTGGTGTAATTTTAGATCTGTTTTATTAGTTCCTTAAGCCTGCCAGTGTTTTTTTCAGCATGCTAACACATTCCCCCTCCCACCCCGATTGTTTATCTTTAAACCTTGCTGCAAACTCAGTATCTCACAAACTCTACTCTCTTTTCTATATTTTTCCTAATATTCTATATTAGAATATTATCAGGGGTGGGATTCTATCTGGTCGCACTGGTTCTATAGAACCAGTTGTTATGATTCTGCGCAGTTCGGAGAACTGAGAGCTGAACCTTCCTAGCTTCTATTTTTCAGTGTAGACTCAGGTAGCAGATTGCAGAAAAGTAGATTCTGTGATTCTGGGAGCAACTCAATCTGCCTGCCTGCTTTGCCTGATTTGGGGTGAAAGTTGCTTTTCTTAAAATAAAAAATCCAGTATTTATATAAATATTTACATACAAGCCACACCCAGCCAGTCACGTGACCACCAAGCCACACCCATAAATTAGGCCATGTCCACATAATCGGTTAAGAAATTTGAATCCCACCCCTGAATATTATGCCAATATTCTATATCCTATTCTTACTAAGACAGTAAAATATTAAGAGGATAGATGAAGGTAACAAGAAAGAAAAGTGAAAAAGAGAACACTAATTATATTAAACTTCAGAGTAATAGCTATCTTTTTTTACCATTATAAAACTGATGGCTGGTTAAGAAATAGTTTTGGCAAAGAAGCACTGTCTTGAGGCTGTTTCAGATACATGAAAGATGAGAAGCAATACTATCAAGTTTTGAAAGTAAATTAGGCCAAGTGTTTTAGTTAGTATTTTATATACATATATAATTTTACTTAAACAAGCCCCACGCTATGGGTTATACTGGGTAAAGGATCTCTTTTAGAATGTTTGGTCTATTAATCTGTCTATTTGGTCTATTAGTCTATTAGTATGTCATTCTTTTCCCCCATTTTCATTTTTAAACTACACAATTATTAGTCATGGACAATCTATAAATATCTGGATACATACACTCATATACACATATCTGGAAAAGTCCATGGGTATGAAGTTTGTAAGAGAAATTCAAAAATGAGACGGAGAAAAAAATACATTAACTTCCAGGAGCTATCTTATCAGTTAAGTGGGGGTTGGGGGGAGGGGAAAAAGGAATTGGGATTTTCAAGACTACAGTGGAACCTCCGATCATGACCATAATCCATTCCAGGACTTCAGTCGCAACCCGATTTGGTCGTGACTGGAAGCAAGATTGACTGCGCATCTGTGGACAAAAAAAATGGTGCAGCAGGGAAAATCACTGCGGCTGTGTTTGGTTGCCACCTGAGGATGTGTTCGCTACCAGATGCAAACATTTTCCAAAATTTTTGGTCGTCACCCGATTTGGTCGCTGTCAAAAGCATTCACGACCCAAGGTTCCACTGTATTTACTCCCATAAAACAGTATTTGGGCTCGAAAAATGTGCACTAGAAAAAAGATCATATCTAAGCTCTTTCTGCAAATTGAAAATGTCTCCATTTAAATTGCTGAATATATATATTTAATTTATGACAACAATTGAGCCCAGAATTTATGTTGTTAAGTGAGAAATTAAAGTGAGTTTTGTCCCATTTTATGACTTTTGTCACATTTAAGTGAATCACTGCAGTTGTTAAATAACAAAGTTCTTAAGTGAATCAGACCTTCCCATTCACTTTGCTTGTCAGAAGGTTGCAAAAGATGGTCACATGGCCCCAGGACATAGCAACTGTCATAAATATGAATCAGTTGTCAAGCATCCAAATATAAATCATGTCACCATGGGCATGCTGCAACAGTCACAAGTGTGAAAAATGGTCATAATCACTTTTTTCAGTGCCACTATAACTTCGAACGATCATTAAGTGAACTGTTGTAAGTTGAGGACTACCTCTAAAAGGCAACTTTGTGACACATGGTGAAAAAAAGATGGGTCACAAGTATTGGTCATTAAATCATATAATTCTTAAAGATATTTCAGGCAAAATGAAACACAATTACACTTTAATTTCTATGATCAGCATACACTACTGAAGTTAACTAGCATGCTGCATCAGAAATATTTTTTTGGGCATTAGCAATCAAAACAGGGACACTTGCACAAAGTTCATAAGTTCTACATATTTAGCAGTTTCTTAATGTATTACTCCAGAATGTGGAATCTTCCAAATAGCTATTATTTTGTTTGTATACCACTTTTATTATTTTTACAAATAATTCAAGGCAGTGAACATATGTACCACACCTTTCTTCACCTATTTCCCCATAACCAACCACTCTCTGAGGCAAGTTAAGCTGAGAGAGAATGACTGGCCCATGGTCACCCAGCTGGCTTTCATGGCTAAGGTGGAAGTTGAACTCACAGTCTCTACCTATTGGCTTAACCCAGGGGTCTTCAAACTTGACAGCTTTAAGACTTGTGGACTTCAACTCCCAGAAGTCCTCCTCCACTCATGTTAGCTCAGGAATTCCGGGAGTTGAAGTCCACAAGTCTTGAACTTGCCACGTTTGTAGACCCTTGCCTTAACCACTAGATCAAACTACCTCTCTTCTAAGGCTTTTCAGTGAATATTTTGATGCTATAGAGTTTTTGCAGGATCAAGAGGAAAAAAAAACAGGCTGAAACCAGACTAGGTCTTTAATCAAAAACAGGTGGAAAATGTTCCTCCCAACCTCCTGTGATTGTAAGTGCGTTAAATTGTGCAGGGTGGGAGAAACAGGCACAATTTAAAATTTCACTTCACTGTAAATTAGGCTTGCACTTGATACATAGCAGTGAAATGTTTGTGTTTCTTTAGTATTTCTACAACAAATCTCTTTTCCATTCCCTTCTGTTGTGCACCCTCCAGTTGTACCTGCTCTAGTCTTGTTGAACAAAGCTTGACATCAGGTGAAAGTCATGACAAAAAAGGAGCCAATATTCAAATTTATGTTCAAGCTTTCACAACAAATTATACTATTCTTAAAATGCAGTTATACTATCTCCTGAAAAGAGATGGCTCATCTCCCACCAGCCTTGCTCTTGACACAGTCTGTTTTTTTTTTAATATGACTGAAAACACTGCTGCAGAAAAGCTAGATAGATTTTAATATCATCTAGTGTTCCTTGCTTTGCTGATCTTTTAATATTTTCCATAATATCTAAAACAGGTACTTTCTTCTTTCCAGTTGTTATTTCTCTTATTCTCCTCCCAATGATCTATTCCTTCTTCTGTTTAACCCCTTCCTAAGGCATCTCCATCTTGGGTTCTTTTACTATTACTGCTTTAGGGAAAGAGTATTCAGATATCTGTGAAGAATGTGTGGTTTTTACAGTATAGGCAGATAGAGAAAAGGATTTTACAGGAAACTAATTTTAAACAATAATTATTGTTTGGAGTTTGTTATAGCACAGCCTTTCCTTTGCAGTACAATTTCTTGCACGCGCACACGCACACACATATATATGCACAAAAGTCATTTCCAGGTATTTATTGTGGAAAGAGAAATCTCAAGAAGTTGGCAATGTTTATAATTTTTTTCTGTTTCTTTTGCAAGGTCATCTGTCTCACAGGTAAAATTCACATTATGATGAGCCAAACAACCACAAAGGAAAGCTGCACAGGCAACAAGAGAGAGAAACATGTTCTCAACTCCATGCTTAGCAGCCATTAAACCTGATCAATTAAGGCAACCGCTGAGAATGAAGCCTGGCATTCCTCTGTTCTGTAAAATATCACTGAGCTCAAAACTCAGCACTATCAGGGTGGGCGTTTATTTACATGTACGTTTAGTCTCCTGAGCATCTTTTCCAAGCCATTCAAGATGTTTCACTCCCCTTGGACCTCGTCTGGCACCCCCTCGATTTCCAAGAGGAAATAAGGGCGACAGCTGTTAAAACGGGGAAAGGGTCTGTTGGTTATTTTATTTTATTTAGATCGTTTTATTTTCGATGCAACACACAAGCTCTAGGGGAAGAAAAGAAATCCAGCCGTGAGTCCCAGAAATATAACTCCCTTAGTCCAAGGAGCGATCGAGAGGTAGAGGCCGCGAATTTCCTTCCTTCCGCAGAAAAGAAGATGGCAACCTCAAAGGGCTGGACTGACGGCTCTCTCTCTCCTGACCCAGCTCTCACTTGCTGCCCCACGCCTCACCCCCACCCCCACCCCAGCCCACCCCTCCGTCCCCAGGCGAGAGCTACCACTGCGGGCGGCAACAGACCTGTCAGGAGCCTGGGGGGCGGCGGCCGCTTCAGAGTCCCCCGCGGCCTCGGAGCTGTCCTCCGTCTGGCTTGGGAAGCCTGTTCCCATTTTCCGGGGGGGACTGGTCGGCGCCATGTTCGACGCCTCCAGCCACATAGAGGTTCCCCCGAGAGCCCAGACGCTGCAAGCCGAAAAACCCGGCCACTACCGTAGCCGCCCTCCTCAAAGCATCCCCGCCCGTCTCCCAAACCGCGGGAAAATGCTTCGCTCCCCTCCCCCAGACGTCACTTCTGGTGATTAGCTCCGGCGGAGCCTGCCGTTGAGATACATCGAAGGGCGCGGCTCGCGCTCAGCCGGGGCTTCCTGGGAACCGGGCTGGTTTTCACGGGCTTAATGGGGAACCCTAATTCTATCTCTGCAACGTTTTCGGAACTGGGAAGGAGGGAAGCAGTGAATGAAACCTTTGCGTGGGCAAAGGCCGAGCCTTGGTGCAATGTCTCTTAGGAGCAAAGGTCTCCAAACTTAGCAACTTTTAAGACTTGTGGACTTCCACTCCCAGAAGATTCGTTGCCAAGCACAATTCGTTGCCAAGTTTGGGGGGCCCTGCTTAAGAGGGTCTGCACAAAGAAAAGGAGAAGGCAGCCGCCCGGGAAGAACAGGCACCTCTCAAAGTTGCTTTGAACGGCAGAGGAGTGTTTGCTGCTACCCTTTTCTAGCCCTTCTGCTGGTGTGCTGGGAATAACTACTGACATGGTTTAGTACAGAGGTCTTAAAACTTGGCAACTTTAAAGACTTGTGGACTTCAACTCCCAGCACAGCTGGCTGGAGAATTCTGGCAGTTGAAGTCCACAAATCTTAAAGTTGCCAAGTTTGGGGACCCCTGGTTTAGTGGCTGCTTTTATTGTGAACAGATATATTGTGATATTCAACCCAACAATTATTGCCGTAGACCCTTCGCTAGGTTTGCTGGGCGGAAGCTGGTGTACTTGTGCGCTCCATGCTTCGCATCACCAAGTCAACCACGTTGGTTCTATGGAAATCATAACCCACCAATCTTCAGCTACTTTTATCAGTATTGCACTTTGATCTCAAATCAAAGTGAATATTCATGCAGAAATAATCAGAATTTGAAACTTAGTTCAAACGAAAATCACTATCATTTAAAGGATTACACAATATGTTAACCATAGAATTTTTATATTTGTAGCCCATCTTTATTACTTTTACAAATAAGGAAGGAAGCATATCCAACACACCTTTCTCTTCCTGTTTTCCTAACAATAACCCTGAGGTGGGTTGGGCTGAGAGAGAGACTGGCCCAAAGCCACCCATAGCTAAAGCAGGACTTGAACTCACAATCTGGTAAGGCAAGACTTAAAATCCATGTGTTGGGAGATTCTTTAAGTCTGGCATAGTTAGTCAAGCCTATTTTTCAAACCAGCAAGATATTCACATTACATAATCTACAAATTCCAAACATCACTAATTGTAGCATGCTTCAACAATCTTCTTGAAATAGTTTTTGGAGGCCCGATATAGAAAAGTTAAAGCTAAATTAGAGGCTATTTAAACTACAGCTCATGTCTTACACTATATCTATGTAGCTCATAAGACTTACCTAATAAATCCTTACCTGAAAAACTGATCTTTTTATGTGCAATAATTGTTACTGGATCAGTGATTTAGTTACCTTGAACATAACCAAAATCTGCCGTTAAATTAGACATACCTTGACTAACATCACCAATTCCAGCATTCTTACCTGTTTTGAGTTTTTATTATTTTAAACTATTTCTATCTGGACATAAACAACTCTATATTTGGATTTTGTTCTCCTTTTTTCAGTTCTTCAGAACATTTTCCCATGAAATCCATGCCAATACAGATAGGGCTCACTTACTGAGTGCCTTGTCCAGGACCTTCAAAGTTATGATGGTGTTGAAAAAATAATTTTATAACTAATGCCCACATTTACAACCTTCACCACATTCTTTTGTCACATGATCACTGTTACAATCAATACATATTTTTCTGTGCCTACCTTGGTTTTTTCCCATTGCAGAGTGGAGAAATTAGGGATTACAAGAGAATAAACATGCACTCTGAGGAATACACAAGCGCTCTGAGGAATACACAACACAAGCAATGTACTGTCATTGGCAGCTGCAAACATACTATTCAAATACATTCCCAATGTGTACCTCTCTTGTAATCCCTTCCTCTCCAATCTCTTCATTCTTTGGAGTGGATGGGGGGAAAGCCACTTCTACACCCCTCCTGTGCCTGACTGGTTTCCCTCACCTTGCAGAGAGATTGCCAGGGAAGGGATTTCAAAAAAATTAATTTTGTTACACAATACACAATTGAATGATAAACCTTTGATTAAAAAAAACCCAATACTTTAACATTTACTTTTTTAGAAACAGTGTTTCAGTTCTAATCTAAATCATTATTACAAATAAAATTAAATAATTCCAAGATTTAGTAACCTAGTAATTATTAAAAATTTAACTCCAGTAATTTCTAAAATACACTTCTTAGACAAACAGTTTATGTAAAATAACTTGGCAAAAACATTTACACAAACAAATTTGTATTTATTTTCTTTTGCATACACATAGCTTATATACAAGTCAGTAATGTGAAATAACTGCTGGAGTTTGTACAGCGGACGCCTATACTAGCACAGCCAATTTGAAGTGAATTTAAGTGTGACTGGAAACACAACAAATTCAATTTTTATTATAAAATGTTTCTTAATGAGCTGTAATCAATAATGTACTAATACACTGTTAAAAACCTCAAAAGTTGCAACCGATCTATACATTTTTTAGCTTTTAACTAGAATTATTTTATAGGAATTTTTGGTAATATTGGATGCACAGTTTACCTCCTGATAGTTCAGGATTTATTATGTGAAATACACTAACAATATACAGCTTCTATTCAAACATAAAAAATAACATATTTCAAAATATGACATAAAGATGTTTCATGAGATTAAGTAATTGGATTCAGTTATGTAGCCTTGTCTATTCTTCACATAAATGATTATAAAAAGAAATCACTGCACATAATAGAAAGGATAAATTGAAGTATCTTTTTAATTTTCTGTTACAGTAGCATTCCTTATTATTCTTCACAAATAAGCGTTTCCATTGCAAATCTGTTCTCAAAATGTCGAATTATCCGGCAATTACCTGCTTCACGCTTGTGAATGCCTATTATGGGAAAATGAACAAAATATTGAATTATTTTATAAATAAACTCTATATATTGTCTTGTATGGAAAAATATGCATTTGCGACCTTTCCTGCCATCTTGCCACAAGAAAGTCCATGGAGAAACCAGCAGAAAAGGTCATAAATCACTCCTCAAGGAGCTCCATTATGAGGTCCCAGAGATCTTGTACTCTGTAGTATGTGCTCACACTACAGCATTCCCGTCCATATAGCTGTTCTCAGGCAGCACTGCAGTACCTTGATCCCAGTCCACATATACTCATACAATGCCACAGCACTTCCTATTATTAACAATGGGAAGACAGGTGAGCCTAAACAAGAGCATTATGGTTGTTTTTTTTAAAAGCACTGTTCTCAACATGAAGTATATCCAAACTTTGCTATCTTTTTTCTTTTTTTTTTTTTTTTTTTGGGGGGGGGGGGAGAGATCAAATAAATAAATAACTTAATTTAAATAATTTAAATAAGTAATCAAATCTTTAATTTCAAGTCTCTTCCCTATCACTTTAGGACTTCATTGTCCTAAAAAATACTATTGTAAAATGATGCATTGTATCTAAACATACTGGACATGATAAAACTTCCAATGAAATACTTTTAAATGTCATTAATGTTGGTAAGTTTAACCACATGCTTAATTTATCAAAGTGAATGGTAGTAGTACATAAATTTAGTTTTGCCAAACATTTGTGGGGGAAATGTACAAAAGTATTTTAATATATGAAAGTAATATTAGTAAAATTAACACACCATTGCACCAAATAATTTAGCCACAGATATATCCCATCATTTCTTATAACGGTATATTCACAAATTTATCAGGAACCATTTTTTTCCAACCAGAACATTGTTCTAAGCATAGAATTACTGACATTGGAATCTGACATGAAATATTCAAAGGCAAAAAAAAATTGTTTTAAAGCTTTGCATACAGTATATTAAATATGCACATCTGTAACATTAAAAATTAGGTGCTATAAGAGGCATGGATATTTTTATGGACATTTTTAATCCACTTATTAGCCATCCTTTGATGTTGCAATGGTACACCAAGTTGTAGGGTCCCCAGAATCACACTATCACATTTGGTGACTTACAATTATGATGCTACAACATCCCATGGACATGTGATCACTACCTGTGACCATCTCTGCTGGATTTCAATATGCAGTCAATCAGAAAGCTAGCAAGAGATTGCAAATGGTAATTGCAGGATGCTGCAATCACACAGTTTCATCGAATTTCAGCAACTGTTGTCATAGATTAGCATGGTCACACAATGTCATGCCTTATGACCATATTGCTTAGTGACGGTGTTCCTGATCCCAATTAACATTGGTAAGAGAAGACTGCATGTATCAGATTTTATTACAATGCAGCAAAATATATACACACTAAAAAATTAGTTTTGCATAGTTTGATGTGGAAACAAAACATTAATTATGGCTATCTTTATTATTTAATCTATGCTTATACCATACCTTTCAGTGCTTCCTTGCGCTGCAATTTGTAAGTCTCTTTATCACGACATAGGCGATAAATGAAAAAACCCAGTTGATCCACATTGTCAATGCGGTCAGTGACTATCATATGCTCATGGATCAAGTACGATTGTGGCAAGTATGTTCCAGCCTACATGGATTAATAGAATCATGAAGAGTTTTAAAAAGTATTAAATCTGTCACATTCATTTTCATTTAACTTCTTTATTATTAATTCAATTTATGTGAATTTATATTTATTAACTTATATGTATAATGTTGCCTACGAAGAATATCAATCTTAAGACACAGAAAGAAAATAGCCCATTTCCTTCTTTTTCAAGGGATCATAGTTTAAATCATGGACTGAGAACCAATAGTCCCCTCTACAAGTCAGTAAAAATTTCTTTGCCAGAGAAGTTTGTCTTTTAAAAAAATACTTCCAGGATGCCAACTGATTTTTAAAATCCAAATGGCATACCATTAAGCTATTCAAGGTCAACATTTTGGGTATGCT